AGAAGGACACTGACAAACTGGAACGTGTCCAGAGGAAGGCAACCAAAATGGTCAAAGGCCTGGAAACGATGCCTTATGAGGAACGGCTAAGGGAGCTGGGCATGTTTAGCCTGGAGAAGAGGAGGTTACGGGGTGATATGATAGCCATGTACAAATATATAAAAGGATGTCACATAGAGGAGGGAGAAAGGTTGTTTTCTGCTGCTCCAGAGAAGCGGACACGGAGCAATGGATCCAAACTACAAGAAAGAAGATTCCACCTAAACATTAGGAAGAACTTCCTGACAGTAAGAGCTGTTTGACAGTGGAATTTGCTGCCAAGGAGTGTGGTGGAGTCTCCTACTTTGGAGGTCTTTAAGCAGAGGCTTGACAACCATATGTCAGGAGTGCTCTGATGGTGATTCCTGCTTGGCAGGGGGTTGGACTCGATGGCCCTTGTGGTCTCTTCCAACTCTATGATTCTATGATTCTATGATTCTAGGTCCTTTTGGTTTTACAGGAAGAATGGGGACACACGTGGCTCCTCAGATGTCTTTAAGAGAAGATTGGACAATTTCATTGAGAGTGAGGCTTCAGCGGCTACTAGCCAAGGTGGCTATGCTCTGCCTCCATGGTTCTGAACATATGCTTCTGAACACCAGTTTCTGGAAACATCAGGAGGGGAGAGTTGTTGTTGCACTTGGACCCTGCTTTCAGACTTCCCATTGGGCTTCTGGTTGGCCATTTTGAAAATGGGACGAAATGGGCCACTGGCCTGATCCAGCAGGGCTCTTCTTATGTTCCTAGAGGTTGCTGGACTATGACTCTCATCATCCCAGACAACTGGTCATGCTGAAGCTGATGGGAGTTGGATTCCATCAACTCCTGGGGTGTGATGCACCCCCTATCCCTGTTGTACAGTGAGGAACGGATGACTCTTTGGTCTTGCTACTTCCTGCGATTCCCCAGAAAGCTGCATTTATGGCTTCTACGCTGCTTTTTTGAACCCTTAACCCACGAGATGTACCAGATTCCTTTTGCCTGTTCAAGTGTTTCTGTTTACGATTCCTCTGCTCTTTCCGTCTCCACAAGGTGGCAGCAGCATGCAGCAAGTTTTTCCCTGGTCTCATGTAAGTGAGAGATGAATTTGTTAAGCCACTTCTCCACTGTGGGTGTGGTTGTGATGGTAATCGGTTTGCTTTTATTATGTATTTTGTGTTCTTGTTTTGTGTTTTTGTGTTGTGAACTGCACTGTGATCTTCAGATGAAGGGCAGTATACACATTTAATAAATAAAAACAAGCAGGAATCGTAGAACTGTCGACTTTGATGGGATCCAGAGGGTCATCTAGTCCAACCCCCTGCAATGCACGAATTACAGCTAAGAGGAGGTTTCCTAAAGCAGTGTTTGAAAAGGGGGATGCAAGTACCTTGGTGGTACTTCAGCAGCCTGATTTGCCATCAGTTAGCCAGCCGTTTGCCCAGTCAAGGGGTGGGAGATGGAAAGATGCCTCCCCTTAATGTAGGGCTTCCCTCAGGTAGTGAAGCAATGCTTCTGTATGCCCCTTTGCTTTCTAGCAGCTTTCCTAGCCTGATGTTATGCACTTAAGGGTGGCTCTATCTCCCAGGCACTTTGTTTCTGCAGGTTCACAGAGCAGCACATCCTCTCTGGATGTGGAAGCGAAACTGGGGCAGGGGTGTGGGTGTGAGGAGGAAGGTGCTTTAGCTTGGCTTTGAGAAGACATGAGAGCAGCAAGCTGAACTGCTGAATGACTCTTTCTTCTCTCTTTCCCTCTTGCCCCCCTCAGCCCCTCTGCCCTGGCATCCTTCCTCGATTTCTGAGGGCCTATTTATAGCACGTTCTGTCAGCAGTTAGCACGCGCAGAGCTCTTGGAGTGGAGGGGTTCTCCCTGCCAAGAGTAATGTGACTTTATACAGGCCTCTTGTAGAGACGCGTGGGTGGGGGGCGGGCAGTGGCCACAATATGGGGCAGACTGTCTGGTTATTGTCTGAAAGAAGAGAGGGAGAGGGAGTGCTAGCAAATGAAGTGTAAATTTCAGAATGTTAGAAGATACACCTTCCTGATCTACCCAAAAGTCCCTCTGGTTCAGCAGTTGACCCCCACATGGGAAGCTCAGAAACAGGGTGTGAAGGCAAAAGAGCCCCCCTTTGTTGTCTGTACTCAAAGGTGTACTGCCCCTGAATGTGGAGGTTCCATTTAACTATCCCCAGGATAATTTGTTTTGTCTTTTTTTAACAAGCAGCAGCAGCAGCAGTTCATATAAGAAAGGCTTTAAGAACATATAGCAGATCCTCCCCCCATTCATTTATAAGAACATCAGAAGAGCCTAGCTGCTGGATCAGACCATGTCTTCCAACATCCTTTTCTCCCAGTGGCCAGCCAGATGCCCCAATGGCAAGCAGGAAATGAGTGCAGCAGGAACTCTTGTGGTTCCCAGCAGCTGATATTAAGAGGCATTTACTGCCTCCTACACTGGAGGCAGAACGTAGACTTTGTGGCTAGTAGCCATTGATAGCCTTATCCTCCAGTGTTGCCGCCTTCTACAAATCCTCACTCGCCAAGTCAGGTTCATGGAGGACAAAACTTACCTGTGGCTACTAGCCATAATACTTGGCTTCTATGTTCAAGATTCTGAATATCAGCCCCTGGGGATCACCCTTCTGGCCCCCATGTCCTGCTTGTGGCCACTATGGGAAGCAAGATGGTGGAGTAGCTGGACCCCTGGTCTGATCTGGCAGGGCTTTTCTTAACGTTCTTGAATCCCACCAAAGGAAATTCTTTTTGGCACCACTCTAAGCCTAATCATAGAATTGTACAGCTGGAAGGGACCCTGAGTGTATTCTAGACCTACCTCCTGCAATGCAGGAATCTCTGCTAAAGCATCCATGATGGGATGGTGCTGTTGAGCTTGGCTCGTATGTCTACTCAACAGAACCTGCCTTGAGTGGGAAGTAGGAGCTCACAGGGCTCTCCCCCTCTGTTTCCCCCTGCCATCTCCAGGCTATGAGACTTATGCATCAACATTGCCTTTTGGCGCTCCCAGGGAGTGCCATAGGGAAGGCCATTGTGAGTCCACCTTTTTGGCGTGTGTCATGTCTTTCAAAACACGCCCCCCCTTCCCTCCTCCCCAGTCAAGTGGGAGGAATCCCTTGATTTTGTTCCTATTTCTGGCTCTGCTGTGTTGGTTGCCATGGAAATGGCTGTGCGTAGCTTTGTAGCAGCACCTACTGTTCTATAAAAGTTTCAGCCAGCGTGTCACCTAGTCTAACCCCTTGCTTCAAGGCTGAATGTTGTGCGATTAAAACATCTTTGGCAGTCTCTTCCCTGGCCCTCTTTTCTGCCCTCCTTGATGCATTGACGGTTCAAGCAGGGCTTGGAAATGGTTGTCTGGAGGCAAGTGGTGTGATTGTTGCCTCTCTGAATATTATGGTCTTCTTCAACCCACAGGGTGCAAACGAAAGGCTGTCTTTCCTCAACAACTACGTAGAATGTAAAGAAATGCTCATGATCAAGAGCCCCCACATGGTGGAAGGAAACGTAACCACATGCATATGAAATATTGGGAATACAACTATATTGGGGTTGCTGAATGGAAGAGTATTTCTAATTATTGCCCAGAGGCAAGTGGCATGGTAGTTCCCTCTCTGAATTTATTGGGTTCTCCTTCAATCTGCAGGGTGCAAATCAAGGGCTATTTCCCCCCCTTTTGCTATGTGTGGCACTGTTTGCATCCCACTGAAAGGAAGCTTAACCCCATGCACATGAAATTTAGGGAATACTATAATATTGGGGTAGCTAAGCAGTGCAGGAGGAAGGATTTCATTCCTAAACATTTAATTCATAAATAATCTCTGAAAAGTATGGATATGTAAATAACGTGTGTGTGCGTGTGTTGCGTGTGTGTGTGTGTGTGTGCTATGAACCGAATGTACCAATCAAAACTTGACTATTGTTCAGATTTCTCAATTTTCTGAATTTTGTGATGGAGTTTTCAGCTATGATATCATAATGGTGTGGAGAAAGTGGATAGAGAAAACATTTTCTTCTGCTTTCGTAACACCATCCTTTGTGAACATCCAATGAAGCCGAATGTTGGAAGATTCAAGACAGTTAAAACAAAGTACTTCTTCATGCAACGCATAGTTTAAGTTTGGAACTCGCTCCACCAGGAGGCAGTGGTGGCCACCAACCTAGATGGCTTTAAAAGAGGGTTAGACAAATAGTAACAGAGGATAATGCTATCAGTGCCTACTAACCATGATGGCTGTGTTCTCCCTCCACTGCCAGAGGCAGTATGCCCCACAAATACCAGAATACATGTGGCGACGGGGCTGTTGAGTTTGGGTCCTGTTTGTGGACTTCCCATTGTGCCATATGGTTGACCACTGTGAGAACAGGATGCTAAACTTTGATGGCCCACTGGCCTCATCCAGGAGAGCTGTGCTTATGTTCTTACTTTGAAAGAAAAATGGTTTTGAAGCTTGGGTTTTGTGAGAAAACATGAATTTCCATGTGGATCTTTTTTGTTATGCTAAGATTATTGTGAAAGTGTCATAGAACAGACTTGCAAAATGAACACTTTTGAAACTGACAGAGTATGGAAACAGACCGACACACCCTCTCCTAGTGGCAAGCACAGTGCAAGTAATGCACCTACGATGGCTGTCTCTGGTTATTAACTAACTCTCCTTTTGTCTGTCTGGTGGAGGTTGCTTGATTGGTTGTGGTTCTTCTCCACCTGAAGTTTGTGCAGTTCTTTTTGGCCTCGCACATAGCACCCCCCACCAGATGAGGAGGAGACCTCCTGAGCGCTGGTTTCCTGCCGTGCAGGAGCACTAACGGTTCATGTGCCAGACACCCACATCACTTCCTCTCCCCGGTATAGGATGAGGCTGCTTCTCTTCTCTCCTTCCTCCCCCCTCCCTTGCCAAATGTGGCTTCGCCCATGAGAGACTGTAAAAGCCCTGCTTGTTCAAGGCAGAGACCAGGGGGCAGCTGGACACCAGCAAGCCAGCTTCTACCACCACCACTGCCCCCCTTTCTCCCAGGCCTGCCTCGCATTCTTGGCTATTTTTAGGCAGACAGTATCAGCTCAGCTGTCCCTCTGCCTCTGGCCGTTGCGCTTGGGAAGTGACACTTGGCTTACCTATCGCGTTTCGCTCAGTCTTTTCCAACGGAAGCCCTGCCAGGGCGCCCGCGCTGCTGCTGCCTCTCTCACTGGGCCTCCGGCCTCCCCCAATTTTCGGTAAGGTGGCAACCCTCCTCTTCCTCATTATGTGCCTTGCTTTATGGTGATGAAAATTTGGAAGAGAGGGGGCTGGTGTTTTTAAGGGAGGGGGCGGGCGGGCTTTACTGTGGCTCTTCCAAATCTACATAGCAGGCCTCCATTGTTACCCTATTTATAGTTGCTTCTGAGCAGGGGGCTGGAGACCTGCTCTGCTGAGGTTTCCCAGTCATTGATACTGTACTGGGGAGTGACTTGGTTTCTGCCACTCTCTCCCTTTGTCCCCCTAAAAAAATCCCTAGCGAGTATTCAGTGTGGCAAGTCTGGAGGTGTGAGGGCCCCCCAGGTTTCCCTTTTGGCCAGTTCCATTGCTCTACATGTTGTGTGGGGAGTGTGATTTACCGGTAGTGGTAGGAAAGCTAACCAGCCTGGGAGAGTCTAACCTCAACTCGCTTATAACTTCTAGCAAAGCCTCTAAACTGATTTCATTTCTCGTTCCCACCCCTCCCTGCCCCGGTGGGACTCGTCTCTTGCAAAGGCCTGGAGTGACCATTTGGGTACTTCCCTAGAGGGTCTGTTGTGCTGATTAGGGCTCAGCCTCTGGCTCCTCTTGAGTGGAAGACGAGACTGAGTGTAGACTGGATGAGACAGTTATGTCTCAGTTGTGAGTGTTGTGGTGCCTTTCCTGGAGAGTGATTAGTGTGCCTTGAGCTGCTGTTCGTAGTAATAGACAGAGCTGTGTGCATGCTGCCCTTCCACAGTCATGCCCTATGATCCCTCAGTGTGGAATTCTGTAGCCTTGAGAATTGCAGCTTCCTTTTAAATTGTTTTTTTTAGGCAGGTTTCTTGCCCTTATGAGTCACTGAGAAAAAGTTGAAAATGGCTGGGCAGAGAGTCTGGTGAAGTCAGAATGTGGGAGATTCAGTGCTTTGCTTTACTTGAGGGCTCATGGAAAGCTTTGCTCCCATCTTTCCATTAACCCCTTGAATGGGTTGTGTTCAATGCCAAATGTTAGGGGCTAGGTAAGCCAGAGTCTGACTTGGGGCCTGTCATCGAGGCCATTTAAGCAAAGGCTGGGTTATTCAGCCAGCCAGCCAGCCAGCCAGCTGCAGGCACCTGACACAGAGTCAGCATCTCAGAATAATTGCTGAGCAAAGGCCTCTCTCTGTCTGGAAGTGAGGTGCAAATGACAGCATGCAGTAGGTAAGAAAATGCAAATAAGAGGCAACTTGATCAAGGTGTATGAAATTATGCATGGTATGGAGAATGTGGATAGGGAACAATTTCTCTCTCTCTCTCTCATAACAGTAGAACTTGGGGACATCCAAGGAAACTGAACGTTGGAGGATTCAGGATAGACAAAAAAGGGCTTCCTTACCCTTTGCTTAGTTAAACTATGGCATTCTCTCCTGCAAGATACAGTGATGGCCGCCAACTTGGATGGTTTTAAAAGACACATTAATGGAGGATAAGGCTATCACGGGGTCCCAACCCTGATGGCTGTGTTTTCCCTCCACTGTCAGAGGCAGCAGACCTTTGAATGCCCCTTACTGGAAACCACAGGAAGGGAGAGTTGCTGTTGTGCTCAGGTCCTCCTTGCAGGCTTCCCTTCGGGGCACCTGATTGGCCACTTTGAGAGCAGGATGCTCCAGTACATGGGCCACTAAGCTGATCCAGCAGGTTTTTAGAATCTGGAAGGGACCCTGAGGATCATCTAGTCCAACTTCCTGCAATGCAGGAATCTCAACCAAAGCATCCATGACAGGTGCCCATCTAAACTCCGCTAAAAAAACCTCCAAGGAAGGAGAATCAGTCGCCTTCTGAGGAAGTCCATTGAACAGCTCTTACCATCAGAAAGTTATTCCCAACTTGAATCCATTGGTTCGTGTCCTACGAACCAATGGATTCAAGTTTCCTCCTGGAGCAGGGAAACTTTCTTCATCTTCCATGTGACAGCCCTTTTGATATTTGAAGATGACTATCCTATCTGCTCTCACTCTCCTTTTTCCAGGCCAAACATCCCCAACCCCCTCAAACTCTTCTTATATTATACGTCAAAGTAAGCACTCCCCCTCCCCATCTCTGGGTTTCAGGAGCTGGGGGTGATGTGCCAGGAGCTGGTTTCCTTGTTGCTTTTCTGTAGTTCTCACTCTCCTGTGGAGAGGGAATGGCTTCTTTACTTGCAGTGTGATCTGGGCCTTTCTACATGCTAAGCTGGTGGCGGTGGCCTTTGTTCCTGGGGGCCTTGTCCTGCTCACCGTGCCAAAACCCATTAGTTCGAGTCAGGCCGCCCAATACGTTTGCAAGATGGTGGAGAGAGAATAAAATGAGCTTTAGCACAGGGATTCCTCCATAGCCCAAGCTGCCCCATTGATGGATGGAGAAGCCAAGCCATGTGTCCTCCCAATGGAATAGAGGAGAGGCTGTTCCAGCAATTCTCATCTAATAACTTGACTTGGGAGCGGACTGGCTTGTTTGACTGATGTTCTGCTCAGTGCTTGGTCTGCCCAGGGTTAGTTATTTAATTGCATTTGATTGTGAACTTCTTCTGAGTGTCTCATATTGAGGCAGAAAGCGGGATATAAATATTTTCTGGTTGATTAAATAAACATTGTAAATAGTCTTACAAAAGTGACTAGTCTGAATATCATCATTTTTTACTAGATTGCAACCCCCACCCACCCTAGTAGCCTCTGTCTCCACACTGGCCTCAGAGGAGGGGATGTGTGCCCTGCCCATGTTGATAATTCCATTTATAAAATTATATTATCCCTCGGTGACTGTCCTGGCCTTCTGTGGCAAGGAGTCCATCAGGTATGTGCTATTGTGAGAGCAGGTTTCCTTTCGTGTCTGTCATAAGCCTTGCCTGCTGTCAGTTCAATGGGCACCCGTGATGCTCTATAACCAGAGAGTGAGTGATTGTGCCCTGTTTGTATCCATCCCTTGCACAAATGTCTTAGGAGCCTTGGTACCTGTCTGCTAAGCCTTTGGGGCAACTGCAGTGAGAAGATCTCACTCTTGGCTCCCCAAAGCCAGCTTTAGGTCTGTAGCAAATCCCTTCTCCCTTCAGTGGAAAAGGAGGTTCAAGGCTGTTGGAGTTGTAGCCTGGGTGGTTTCTGAGACGTGGGAGCTTGTGTGAAGGCTGAGGTTGCCACTTCCTTACATTTACAAGTTTGTGCTTCCCTGTCTGTAATAAAGGAACCCAGGTCACATTGTGTGGGCTCAGCCAGTTGTTTCAATTTTGATCCTGGACTTCCAGCTCATGAAACAGTTATAGGATCCGCAAAGCTCACCTGTTAAGAGGTTGATATGCTCTCCCTTCTACTACTGTGCCCCCTTGCAAAGGCTGCAACACCTGCATGGAGGATTCTGGTTGCACCAGTTGCTCTTAGAGGCACCTGCCTGCGGATCTCAAGCTGCTGTCAACCCTTTTGCAAATGTGATTGGGTTAGCCAAAGAAGGCTGCCTCTCCTTTAATCGAAAAGGAGAACTAAGACAAGCAGAAAGGAATAACCCACACAGCCTGTATCTTGATACATTTCAAGTGCTGTTCAGTTAACTCAGAAGTCCCTAAGAAGTGACATCTCAAATTATAGCTGGGGACAATACTGGTGATGGGTTAATAATGACAGGTGAAAGGTGTGGGGGGGGGAGGAGCCTTAATTAAAGACTGGTTCAGAAAGGAAGGCACAAGGAGCTAAGGCAATGTCGTCAGATCAAGTTTTTCTACACTGGAAGAAGGTAGGAGGTCACTGCATTTAAAAGGGCCTGCGGAAGTCACTATCCCAAGGCTGCAGCCCTGCACTGCCTGTAAAGCAAATGCTTATTTCGGGTGGGGTGGAATTGCCTGAAAAATTATTGAGGGTGAGTAGCATTTCATTTTCAGCACCCGAGGTTAAGAGAATGGGAATTTGGAGGCATGATTGCTTAGGAATCCTTTGCCCCAGGTTTCCCCTTGTTGTGGTTCCTCGGTCCGTCTTGCCTGGGACCCAGAGGGCTCCCCCCCCCATTCTGCAGACTCTTAACCTCTACCACCTTTTTCTCTCCCAGTCAGGGGTTTAGGTTCTCCAGCGTGGCAGCCATGGCCTTTTCATCACGATTTGCATTCTGGGAGCAGAAGGGAAGTCTCTTTGCTATTGTGGTTCTTGGCCTTCCCTGCCTCCTCTCTCTCCCTCCCCACCCCCCTCGCTCTCCTAAAACTGGGCACTTTGCACATGAGTCGCGGCAGCACATTGAAAAGGGGACCAGGTTGTGCTTGTTCCTGGCATAGGAGGGAGTTGGCTTCGGAGCAGTAGAGGTCACGTTAGAAATGTGGCAGGAATGCCAGTGGTCAGTCCTAGGCCCCCTCTTGGCTTGTGTGAAGAGCAGAGGTCCCTGGGGAGAATCTGTTCTCCTCCTTGCCATTTCTCAGAGACTCCAAATGGACTGAACAAACTGGCAGCCACTCCCTCCAAGCCCTTTGCATAGCAACTGTGTGGAATAATCTGCCTGTGAAATAACTTGTGTGCTACTAACTCCACTGTATATTGGAGCCTTTGCCCTTGAGATGTTTTGGACTACATTGTGCTGGCTGGGGCTGATGGGAGTTGTAGTCCAAAACATCTGGAGGGTACCAGTTGGTAGAGGCTGATATATTGAAAGTACTGTGTGATCATGAGTGCTGTTACTGTAAACCTGGGTTTGACCTCAGTGTGGAGCTCTTAATATAATAGTTCGTGCCATCTGTTGACTCATATCTCCACACCTAATTTATAGCTCTATTTCTGAGCATTTTAAGCTTTCCAAGTGCTTGAGTCTCACAAGGAGTGAGGAGCCCCCAAGAAGCCCAGGTTTGCGGTAACAATGTGTGTCCCCCCTCCTTCCTTCCTGCCCCATCCTCCCCTTGCACCAATGCATGGCTTGTGTGGTTTGAGAGCCAATGGAACCAGCACCTCCCTGCACACTGTGGTGTTAAAATGCACTTTTGACTGACAGGTTACTGTGATGTCTTCACAATCCAGGTTTGGAGTAATACGTCATTGTGTCGTTGTGTTACCAACCTATATACCTGTTTGGTGGGAGTGTATCACATTGCAGCCTTGCTGCCAGAGTTCCTGTTCCAAGTTTGCTGTTCTGTGTTCGCTGGGCTTCAAGGTTGCTAGATTGGGGAGTAAGGGTGTGGGTGATGAGAAAATAGCAAAAGTGTGTAATTCTTGTGATGCCAGGTTTCTCTTGATCATGGTGGTTCCCAGTTGCTGTTGCCTCCTCACTCTTGAGGCACCCCACCCACCATTGCTCCTGCTTTGATCCTAATGAAATATGTGTTGTCATCTTCTTTGTCCTGCAGAGATGAACTTTTTACCAACTTGGGCTGAGTGTACACATTCCTGGCTTAGAACATAGCAAGGCCGCTCTTTTTCTCAATTCAGATAAAAGTTGGGTGTTTTGGTTTTTTTGAGGGGGCGGAATTTATTTATTGAAATATTTATATACCACTCTTTCATAAGATATATCGAGGTGGTATGCAACCTGCAGACTACAATAAAACTAGTAAAAGGATCCATTAAAATGTAATTGAAAATATTAGTAGATATTTCCTGGTGAAAAAGAGAAAAAGACCCCTGCATCAAAATGTCGTATTTCATAAGAAACCACAGAAGAGAGATGAATTGTGGGTAAGGTGATGGGTGTCTGCTGCTTCCCAACCCAGCGGTGGGAGTCTACTGGATGCAGAGTTGATGGGAGTCTGTACACAGCCTTTCTCCAGCATGGGCTTTCTGCCCAGTAGCAGCTTAACACAAGGTCCGCTGGGAGCACCCTGACCACTTCAGTGCTTGTGAAAAGCTACCATCATACTTGTGATGAGGACTGCCTGGAATGTGCTAGTGAAAAAGTGTGTGTGTGCACGTTTCAACTGTTTGTCCTGGCGTGAATGAAATATTCTTCTGTATTTGACTTCCTCAGGTGAAGGATGAAGACAAACCTTTAGCAGCGAAAAAAAACGAGAGAGAGGATGGGGCTGTAAGTCCGTCTGGGTTTGGGCACTGGAGGGGGGGGTGGTATTTGCTTGGGCTAACTTCTAGGCCAGGACAAGTTTGTGTGTGACGTGGGTCTTGCCTCTCCTTCTTTCTCTTGTGTGCAGTCTCCACGGTGTGTTGTAGGGCCCACCATTTTTTTGTGTGGGATCCTAGAGTTGTAAGTGCGAGAGGGGGCTGGCAGATTATCTTCACTTTTTTTGTTGGGACTAGGGATGGGGAGGAAGGAATTCAATTCAGTTCTCATTTAAACTTAAACTCATTTAAACTTAACTAAATTTGCCTCATCTGAAACATTACCACAAGTGGAAATGCAGCAATCCTTTGAAATTTGCACGTCTCTGAATTTTGCAGTGAAATTCTCCAGCCAAGGCATGTGTATAAAAATGCTTATGAGAGAGCATAGATTACATACAGACAGACATAATTTTATTTGTATGCTGCCTTTCAAACCATGCTGAAGGCAGGTTACAACATGAAAAAATATATAATTACAACATTACAAAAGTAGTCACCAACAATAAATAGAACATCAAAAAATTCACAATTGCACTGAACAATTTCCATATAATCAAAACACAGATACAAAAATTAATATCAATAGCAGCAACAGCCCCCCCCCATTAACAACAACAAAAACACCACTTACCAAATACATTTTGTTAGGGCCCTTTGCAAAAATGTTTGTATTAGGCAAAATTAAATATGAACATGTGTATATTGAGAGATGTTTACACTGAAACGCTAATGAATTTCCACGAAGACTTTTAAAAATAAAAAAAGCACCTTGCAAACTGTTATGGAAAAGTGGTGAAATGAATTTAAGATTGCGAGAAAGAGAAACCAAAGCTGACAGATTCTTCCATTCTTAGTTGGGAAGCAAAGCGGGTTGCGCCAACACTGTTGCCATTATTTTCTTTTATTTTCTTCTGTGGGCACAGGGATTTTTTTGGGTGGGGTGGTGGGGTAGGAAAGAGTTGCAGAGAAAGAGAAACATGCACATGCGTGGTGAAAAACCGTGCCCATGTGGCATGTGGAGGGTAAAAGGTGAGTCCTGGGTCTGATAAGCACTGTGAAGATCAGCAGATTTTCAGTCCTATTTATTTTTATTTCATAAAACTTGTATACTGCTCGATGGTAGGAAAAACCTCAAAGCAGTAGTGCTAGCCATGGGGCAGAACGACACTTCCTCTGAGCCCACGGGATGTAGAAAGCAAGTGACTCCTCCAGGTTCCTGCCTGGCCTTGTTGTTGATGCTGACGAGAGACCCCTAATGGAGCCCAATTCCAAAGCCACCATCCCTACCTCTCTCTGCCTCCCCTGTGCCCAATCATACACACTTCGGGTGGTGGGACCTGCCAGTTCCCAGAGAACCACTCCCCTGTGTGCGCTTTAAGCTGGGTCTTTGTTAGGCTGATCGCTTGGTGCGGCTTGAAAGCTATCGCTGTGGGAAGGTGCCCCCTGCACAGCTCTGGCCTAGTTCTAGGATAATGGATGGTGGCAGGGACAAAGAAGGAAGGATCCTTCTGTAGCCATCAGGGCTGGAAACCTACCCCTCTGGGACAGGCTTGTAGATGGTCTCAGGCCCTTTAGGCTCCTCTCCCACCCCCAGCTTTTCCCCGTCTTTTTATTCCTTGAGCTGCCCCCCCCCCTGCAATCGCCGCAGCTCTTCTTTTGGTGGTGGCTGGGTTTCTCCTGATTTGTGTTATTAATTTAAGGGCTCCCTCAATGCACATTTTGGTTGGGCTTCAGTTTTACACAACTATGATTATTTGGTGCCCAGAGCATCTCTGCTATTCTGTTTGTAGCTGAGTGCCTCTGCCCAGAGGAACCCCTGTTTAAACACTCTGCTACTGGTGAAGTTCATTAGTTTGTGTTTCATTTGCATCCTGCTTTTCCTCCAATAGGGAAGCCAGGGTAGTACATGGTTCTCCCCATTCACACATTTTGTGCTCGCAACAACCACCCTGTGAGCTTTGTGGCTGAAGTAGAGATTTGAATTTTTCCTGGTCCTAGGATGAACCCTTTGGTTGCTTTTCAGCCTGCTCTTATCTTAACAGGCTCAGCCCAGGATACTGGTAGGGGGGAATAGAATAACAGAGTCATAGAATTGTAGAACCGGAAGGGATCCCGAGGGTCATCTAGTCCAACCCCCCGCAATGCAGGAATCGCAACTAAAAAATCCCTGACATATGTGCCACCAAAATGGCCTTGAATACCATATTTTTTGCTCTATAACTCACTTTTTCCCTCCTAAAAAGTAAGGGGAAATGTGTGTGTGTCTTATGGAGCGAATGCGGCTGCGCAGCTATCCCAGAAGCCAGAACAGCAAGAGGGATCGCTGCTTTCGCTGCGCAGCGATCCCTCTTGCTGCCTTCTGAGATTCAGAATATTTTTTTGCTTGTTTTTCCTCCTCCAAAAACGAGGTGCGTCTTATGGTCTGGTGTCTTATAGAGCGAAAAATACAGTAGCTAGGAGAAATGTGAGTGGGTGGGCAGAAGAATCTCAGACCCTCTCTCGTCTAGACCTCCAAAACTTTTGTGAGCCCCCCAGTTCAAACCATTGGAAATGGTTTCAGGAGCTTATCTGTTTTTATCTATATTCAGGGCTCTGAATATATGAAGAGCCACAGAAAGGTCACAGCTCAGTGGTAGAGCAACTGCCTTGCACACGGAAGGTCCCAAGTTCAATCCCGGGCATCTTCAGGTAGGAGCGCCGGCTGCCTGAAAATTCGAAATAATAATAATAATTAATACATTTTATTTATGCTCCACCCTCCCAGCCAAGACTGAGCTCAGGGTGGCTAACACCAAGTATAAAAACAATTGATTAAAATACAACTTAAAAACAAGATTAAAATACAACATTAAAATGCAGCCTCATTTCAGTAGAAACTCAAATCAAATCAAAGAGATCTGCTGCCAGTCAGTGTATACGATACTGAGCTAGATGGACCAATCATTTGGCACGGTATAAGGCAGCTCCATACGTTCCTAATATGCTCCTGTTCTGCTTGTTAAGAACATTGGTGTTGTTGTTTTTTGTTTTACTATATTCAAGGTACAGAACTTAAATTACAGAGTGTTTGGTGTGGGGGAGAGAGCAAACCCTTTTGTGATGGCCCCCTTAGCTGCCATCTATAAAAGGCTAACAGGAAGGAACAGTTTGCCTAAAATTAAGGGAGTGAAGATGGGACTTGTGAACTCAATTAAGTGTCCAATTCCTACCCCCCCCGCCCCGGTTGATGCTCCAATTTAAGGACGTGGAGCAGAAGCAGAACTAATTACTCAGAACAGCAAAAATGCAGAATTAAATTGCGCATAAATAAAGCAAACCATGCACATTTGCTTAACTTGCACGTTTTGCACAGGTCGTGGCACTTAGCTTTGCAGAATTTGGGTTACCATTGATGTAGAATTTTGCGGAGTCCTGCTCGTAGCCTCTTTACCTCAGGTCTTTCTCTGCCCTGCTCAATAACCTCTTCTCATTTCAGTGTTCAAAAGTGGCACCTTTCTTGCCGAGCCATGGCTCAGAAGGCGAGCTGGAACTTTTTAATGACGGCAGCACCCCTGCTTCCACTCTCCCCAGCAAGCCTTTTGCCGTAGCGGTTGAAGCTTCTCCTGGCCTTGGGCCATCCATCCTAGGTCTAGTGCCCAGTGGCCATTAGCTATGCTGCCTGCCGCCTCCTCTTCCTTTAGCTGCTCCTGAAGACAGACCCAGAAGCTTCCCCTTGCTCAGCTGCCCTGCTTTCCTCCTTTGTTCTAAAGCAAGGAGCCAGCTGCTCGGCTTTGCCTACTGGTGTCTTCCCTCTCCCTCTTTCTCTTCATCCTGTACCCTGGCAGCCTTCCCCTTCTGCTGCAGCTTTCCTTCCTCATCTTCGGCAGAGGCCAGAAGCTCGTCCAAGAACGACAAGACCCGCTCTGTTCCGGAGAGTACAGAATTGATGCAGTGGCTGCTTTTTGGCTTGAAAGAAATCTCTTTAAGGAAGGGCATCTGGAGGGGAACAGCCTTGACTGGCGCCTTCCCTGCTGCTTTTTAAAAAAATGCCACCCTTTTCCTGACCCACTTCTCTTTTTAGGCTGGGGCCTGAAGGGTAGGGTTTCCCCTCCCCCCCCAACCCCCAAGGTGAGTTTATCCTGGGAAGCTGATTCCTTGTATTTTTGTTTCCATCCAGTTTCACTGCAGAGCTTTGGTCTGTGCTGCCGCTACACTGTGGGTTGAGATGAGTCTGCAAAGTCTTGGCTGTGTGGATGGATGCTTTACGAAAAGGACTTGTGGGCAGAGGGCTCTGCAGGGATGTGGGAGGGGGGAATCAGTTATTTTCTCATTCCTGGGAATGCCCTTTGGAAGTAACCTTTCCTCTAGAACAGGGTTTCCCAAACTTGGGTCACCAGCTGTTTTTGGACCACAAGTCCCATCACCCTTAGCTGGCAGCGCCAGTGGCATAGCTGTCAATGTTTCCCTTTTTTAAAGGGAAATTCCCTTATTCTGAATAGGATTCCTCGCAAGAAAAGGGAAAAGTTGACTGCTATCAGTGGTCAGGGATGATGGGGATTGTAGTCCAAAACCAACTGGAGACCAAAGTTTGGGAAACCTTGGTCTAGAACATAGGAAGCTAGTCCAGCAACAACTCAGTGACCCAAGGTAGAAGAAGGTTGATCTACACTGACTGACCACAGTTCTCCAGGGTTTCAGGCAGGGAACTCTTCTAGATGCCTAGAGATGCCACTGGGGATTGAACCTGGGACCTTCTGCATGCAAAGCAGATGCTCCACCACTGAGCTACGGAAGCTCAAGCTTTTATCCTTGGTGGGCCTAACCCTGCTGCCTTCCCCCAAACCTCTGAGGTTGGAGCAAAAAGACTCAGAGGAGCTAGCATAGGAAGGGGCTTGACTCTTCCATACGTACTGTCCATGCATTTTTCCCCATATAATTTTTGTGCATAATTAGTCAGGGTTTTTCTTAATGCACGAGTGGCTTGGACATAAGTCTGTATACCAGAGGCGATGCTAACACAAGCAAAGATGAGTTGGGTTGTAGCCACTATGCTGTGCATAAATCTGTTTGCAGTAGACTCCTCTTCCGTTCCTTTTGGCGGCATGTTCGTTTCGCTTCCAGAACCCCACCTGTGCCCTCTTCCTCCAGCTCAGCCAGTTGCTTATTTGCAGCTGTTCGTTGTGATTAGCACTCTCTTCTGCCCACTCCACTCTCCAGTCACACAAACTTTTCCTGGCCTTTTTGCATGTCAGAAGCCAAACTAACCCTCTGGATGGGCAGGGCTGTCCCTGCTGTTGGGAAGGAACCAGGGATCCCCTTGGATTCTCTGCTTGGGAAATCTGAGGAAGGCAGCTTCTTCCTTGTTGTGTGAATGCAAACCCTTGAGCGGGGAGGAGGAGTGGACTTGGTCCCTCCAGCACAGCGCCTGGCTGGTCGCTGCTGCCTTACCATGGCATTCTTTGGGGGCCTGCTCTCCTCACAACATCTTCATGTATCTGCAACTATAGTTGGATGTCCAGAGTGCAGGAAAGGAAGACCCCCGGAACCCCCGCAGCCCTGAGCCCCCAGAACGCCCTGGGAGGGTGAAGAGCCCAGAGCCCCCGGGGAAGGTGAAGAGCCCAGAGCCCCCGGGGAAGGTGAAGAGCCCAGAGCCCCCTGGTAGGGTGAAGAGCACAGAGCCGCTGCTCAACGGGGACACCCAGCATTCCTGCCCTCCCGGCCAAGCCATGAACGGCCTGGAAGGGTCCCAAGGAGCTGGCTCATCGACTCAGCCCGAGCCACCTGCTGACGATGCCCAGGGCCTCTCCCGCAAGAGAGTGGTGAGGGTGGTGCGGAAGGTGGTGCGGAAAGTGCTTCCAGGGGAGGAGTCTGGGGGCTCCAAGGAGCCGGGACGAGATGTCAAGTCCATGGAGCCAAGCAAGAAGGAGGAGAAGCCTCCTGCAAAGGTCCAGCCCCCACCTGCAAGGGTGCTCTCTCCAGGGCCGGCAAGGGTGCTCTCTCCATCCCCTCGGCCACCCTCTTCCTTGAAGTCTGAGCCCAAGGAGGCAGCCCCCAAGGATGACCTCTCGGTGGGGCTCAAGAGCCTGATGTCGAGAGGCAGGACCAGAGAGCACCGGCCCCGTGCCAAGCTGCCAGAGAAGAAAGAAGAGGAGAAGAAGCCCCCAGAGAAGACAAAGACCCCGCCTCTTGTGGAAGGAAAGGCCACAGACACAAAGGGGAGTCAGGCGCCGAAGGGGCCTCCTGCGGCTCCAGCGAAGCTGGCAGTACCGAAAGCCACCACTGTGAATAAGGTACTAGTGCATGAGCACCGCAGCTTGGCGGGCGCACGATGCCAGCATCTGAGCATGTGCAGAGTGCCTTTGTGTTCTTCACCTGGGCAGGGCGGGTAATGAACTTTGGCTCACAGAGTCTGGAGGGGGTCCTCAATGCATGGAGTGTGCTGCCACAGTGAGGCTCTTCTTTCTCTCGGGGAGTGTGTTGTTCTCTCTCTTTACCCCACTCTGTGTAGCCCCCATCAGGCAGCTGCTTTGGGGCTTAGGGCAGCTTCTGATTGGTGTGCTTAACAGCCCATGTGCCTCTTTGACCATGCCAAGTAGCTGTGAGGCTCCTCGCCTTCATTTCAAGCACACATGAAACCCATTTCTATCTCTTAGAGCTGCAAAGATGAGCTTGAACACGGGCAGGTGATTCTGGGTGGAAATTCAAAAACGGGAGGACAGCTGAGCAGGGTTTGTAAGCTGTCTGTGGAGGGTCTTTAATAGTTTCTTCCCCTCAGGGGAAATCTAAGCAGATTATATCAGAGTGTATAAATATCAGTATTCAGGTTGCAAAATTTGGGTTGAAAAGTGGAGCTTTCCAGCATTTTAAAGCTGTAGTGCTTTTTAGATTCATTGAGGAGACAGGAGTGGAGAAGCCATAGCATGGCTGTGTTCTGCATCCACAGTTGAAGGCATTAATATCAATTGCTGGAAACCACAAGAGGCGAGAATGCTTGAATCCTGGAGTGCCGGTTTCCCACTGTGAGAACAGGATGCTGGACTAGATGGGCCACCGGCCTGATCCACCATCAACACCCCCTGCTAAATTTAACCCTAGAATAAACATTAGAATTAAATGTGTTCAGTGAAGATGGGCCCAGAGTGACGCCACTCTTTTATTTTATTTTTTGTTTAAACAAAATTTATACACCGCCTGTTTGTAAATAGAACCTCTAAGCAATTTACAAAAATTCCCACTTGTTATGCCTGTCTTCAATCTAGCCTGAGCTTCATTGCATCCACGTGACTCATAAGGGGTGTGTGTGTGTGTATAAGCATGCATCACTGGGTTCCTTAAATACAGTTATGACCTCTGTCATCTAGACTCCTTCCAAGGAGAAGCCCCAAACAGCAAAGCCAACAGAGAAGTCTCCGCCTCCCCTGAGTCCTGGAGAGGGAACCATCCAGCAGGTGTGTCTTGAGCTAGACTTGCATTGCTTTGCCTGTGTGCATTGGTGTTGCTGTAGGCCTGTGTTCTGGGGGCAGGGAGGAACCTGGGGTGGGGGAGTTGTGCAGTGAATATGCGTGTTTATGCAAAGTCTCTGGCGACCAAAGAGGCTCACCACACAGATGTCTGTTACAACATGGGGTAGGGGTGCGCAGAATTCAGACTTGCGGGATCAACTTCCTTCTTTTCCTAGGACTCTGTGATCCACCAGCTGGAGCCAGGTGCAAAAGAGCTCCTAGCCTAGCAATTTGTTTTTGAGTACCACCACAACTCAGCTCAGCTCAACTCACAGCGCTTCTGAACAAAAATCATTTCCAGGCTGCCCTGATATTATTTTCAGCCCTATCATTTTGGGTTGTGTTGGGAAAGCAGGGTGGGAATTATTCCGTTGCTTCTATTGCTAAACCTTTGGGAGTCAGAAATCTTTGCTGAATTACTGCAGATCATTCTGAGATCTTCCTGTGCATGGATGCACAGATGTGTAGGCACCTCCCAGATTTCTCTCTGGGGAAAAGTTTTTTCCTGTTCTGTCTGAAGTGTCCTCCTAACTTATGTTGGTACACACCTACCTTTGCTGACGTAGATTTGTATGAAAATGTAGGCCACTGTGTTACTAATATAATAGAGTGCATGATTTTGGCATTCAAAGGCTTTCATGTTTGTGTTCAGAGGGTTTTTGTGATCAGAGTGTTGTACCTTTGCCCCATGCAACATGAACCTCACCTGGGTAAACGGTGCCTGATTCTCAGCACTCTAAAGTATGGCCTCTGGGCTGGCAGGAGGAGGTTTGAAGTATAGGGCCAGAACTGGGTATATATTCTCCTAAGCCAGACACTGGATTGCTCAGGTGGCTTATAGAAGCTCTAATGAGCAGCTAAGGTGGCATGGTCCATTTCTGCTTGTGCTCTTGCAGTGTTGGCCCACCTGGGGAAAGCCATCTCTTGGCTGCAGCTGCCTCTTAGGGCTGCCAGCTTTTGATTTCAAAAACTCCACTCCCTGGAGAATGAGGGGCAGAACCCGGCTGGCTTTGGGATTGTGGCCACTAGCCCCCAAACCCTAAACTGAACAACTAACTGCCTTCATTACACATTTTTAGGTGCTAGAGAAAAGCATTCTTCTTCTCCCAGGCCTTTGGCTAATTAAATAATCTATGGCCTTTTAAAAAGTTTATGTGGTGGGGGGAATATTGTTTTGGTTTTTACTACAGTATATGCATTTTGTGTTTTTATATGGTAAAACCAGCCTGTGATCCTCGAATGAAGGGTGGTATGGAAATGTAATAAATATTTGTAATAACTTTGCCTGCTTGGCTTAAAATGTTGCATTGGCATTACAGACACCAGCATTGGCCATCTAGCCATTGGTCGAGATTTCCCCCCCCCCCTAGTCCAGACCAATATTTATTGATTCACATTTATATCTCACCTTTTTCTCCAAGGAGTTCAAGGTGGCATATGACATTCTTCCCCTCCTCCTTCAATCCCCACAACAACCCTATGAGGTAGGTTAGGCTGAGAGGCAGTGCCTGACCCCCCCAAGGTCAACCAGGGAGCTTCACGATCGAGTGGGGGATTTGAACTCTGTTCTCTACCAGGTCCTGGTCCAACACTCTTAACCAGTTGGCAAGACAGCTCCACCTAGAGTGTCATGATGCTTAGGTTCCAGTGGTCCTGCCTTGCTGATCTCCAAGACTGTTGGGTGGGTCTTGGGCAAAGTGAGCTTGGCTGGTCCCTGCCATTGCTGGAGGCCACAGAAGACTTGCCGAGGGTTCTGCTGCCTCTGTCTTTCCTTGTTGCTGCTTGTAGGTGAGACACCCTTCTCCTCTTCGCTGCCGGTCCCTTGACTTTACAGCTTACCTCTCTCTCTCTGTGTCTCTCTTTTTCTCTCCTCTCTCTCCTTTCCTGGGTTAGCCGGAGCCTGCGACCACCACGGCTGCACTCCCCCAGGTACTGTACCCCAGCGCGCCGGAGGACCCCCTTCTATCTCCCGTCTGCCTCTGGGTTGATGTGTGTGCTCGCGCCACGTGCTGGAGTGTAAGGCTTTATTCACCTCTTGGCATCCGGCCTGGGCCTCCCCTTTCCATCATGCTAGACAAGAGAGAGATGACTTGTTTGCACACGGCTGGGCGGGCCTTGGGGAGGGAGGGAGGGAGGGGGCAGCGGGGTGGGGCAGGGGTGGAAGCCTCCATGTCACATGCCAAAGCTATTGCTGGCATCATGGGAAGTGGGGCCGCTTCTCTCGGAAGGGGCAAAAGGCCGCCTACGTTCAGCATCCAAAAGCGACCCTGTCCGGATCCTTCCCCTTCCCCTTCCCCTGACGGATCAATCTGGGCCCCAGCTGAGAGCCCTGGTGAGTTGCTTTACCGTGGAAATGGGACAGAGAGCTCTGGGTGATACAAGTGATGAGGGTTGGGTAAATTGGGGGGGGGGGAGCCCAGCTGTTTAAGGAGGAAAAAACTCCAGGGATCAACTATCGGTTTGGCCTGGCCTGAAAGTCAGTGGGTGGGTGGGGAAGACTCATCCTCAACTTGATGATCGTTTCCTAGCCCACAAGAGTCATTAGCAACAACCTTTCTCTACTTTCATGCTGCCCGCTGCCCGTGTTACCCTGCCAGCAGCACATGTAGGCAGTGCTTCTGCAGAGTAGCCTTTGAGTCCCTGCCCCAAGGAGCTTACCAAACTACCTTTCAATGGAAAGGGAGACAAACAAAAGAGGAAAGGCCAGCAGGGAGGAAAATTGCATACAGGTGGACTATTTTTTTTTGGGGGGGGGTGAGGACCAAAGGGGAAGAGCAGAGACCAGGACCATGCAGGTGAGCTGGAAGTCTCAGCGTTTTGTTTTCCAGGTGCCTCTGGGCACTCACAAGCAGAATACGAAGGCAAGAGACACCCTGTGTTGTTTCTTTTCAGGATCTGGCACTGAAGGGTGGGTGGCAGCAGCGTCCAGTGGATTTAGACATGGGGCTTCTGTTTTAACGATAGTGACTAACAAAAGTTGGGGGAAGGCTTGTAGCTCTGTGGTGCAGAGTGCCCACTTTTTGATGCAGAAGCCAGCATCTCCAGGTAGGGCTGAGAGACGCCCTACCTGAAGTGCTGGTGAGAGGCTGCCAGGCAATACTGAGCTAGATAGGCCAGTGGGTCGGACTTAGTATAAGGTAGCTTTCTGTGAATGGCCTGTGTCTCGGAATCCACCCTTGGTGTCCCACCTATTATGATGTTACAAAGGTGCACACATTTGGTCCATTGGGGGTGGCACCCTTTCACTTGGGGGCAGCTGTCCCTGAGCTGTTTGGAAGGTTGGCTCAGGACGGAGCAAACTGCGACCTTCATTGCTGCAGGGAACCTGCTCTCTTTATATGCTGCTTTTCCTCTCTCCACGCCTTAGTTTCCCTTTTCTCATGGTAGGGCTAATAGCATGGCAGACAGGGAGACTACAGAGCCAGGTGTTCCCTTTTTGTGGGGTGGGGGTGGAGGTAGAATGGTGCTGCTGGTTCCCCCCCCCACCCTGATCTCGCCTGGAGGCGGGCATCCAGATTAACCTGGCCCACATTGCTTCCCTTCCTGTCAGCTCCCACAGGCTCAGGCGGACGATGCCCCAGCGGCTGCTTTTGGGCTGGCCTCTGCTGTCTCTCGGCCGCAGGTTTGGCTGCTCCATTCACAACTCTTGTTGCTTGTGGGCGTCTGTGGCTTGAAGCTTGCGGGAGGGGAAGGGTTGTGCTTGGTGTGGGTGAAGAAAGCTGCCTTGGATTTGTGTGTGGTTCCATGAAGGGGATTTCTTTTTCTGAGTCCGTCCTCCATAGATGGTCTCTGGATCAAGGGAAGCCATTATGGATATAATGATGGACCTTTCCAGGGATTGTGAGTGAGACACATGTTGTCATCCTCATCCTTCTCATCCTCATCCCCATCACCATTCTTCCAGTAGCCCCATAAAGCTGGTTGAAAGAGCCCACCCAGTGAACTTTCAGGTTTTTTCTGGGATTTGAACAGGTGACCCTATTCTGCTTTACTACCCCAACAAAATTCATTCTTGGATGGTTTCTCCTACCCAACCCCACGCTTCGAGGTGGCCTTCCAGTTGTTGCTTCCCCAACTCTCCCAGCTGCAAGGGCCTGTGACCATAGGCTAGCCTTTCCCCAACCTGGTTCCCTCCTATTGTTGCAGAAGTACAGCTCTCTTCATCCCTGGCCTTTGGCCATTCTTGCTGGGGCTGATGGGAGTTGTGCTTCTGCAGAATCTGGAAAGCCAAAGGTTCCCCATGTAAAGGGCCCCTGGTTTACTTTGTCCATTTCAGGCTGGGTTTTTTTGCATGCTCCATTCACTGTTCTCCTCGCCTTGTTCTGTCTGCACCTCTGGAGTTTTGATTTTGTTTATGTCAGTTTGGGGAGGGGGGGGCGTGCCGCATGCTGCATGCTCTTTGCTCTTTTCATGGAGCTGCCTTGCTCGCTTTGGGGGGGGTGTTGCACATTTAACCCCTCTGGAGGTTGAACCCAGCTGGCCTGATCAGAGTTGAGCTTTGGTAGTGGTGATGGTGGCGGTTCTGGTTGTGACACGTCTGAGGGAGGGGGATTCTTGTGGGTTCTGTGCATCAGGCAGGAGAGCAAGTGGGCCTGTGCAAAGTGCAAGATATGAGCAGGGAAGTTCTGTGAGGAAGGCTGTGCACGCACCATGCATTTAAAGCACACAGCTTCCCTAAAGGATCCTGGGAGCTGTAGTCCTGTGACAGGTAAGCTTCATTTCCCAGGGGAAGCTGTGTGCTTTAAATGTACAGTATGTATGCAGCCTAAATGGAGCTGGGCTGAAGTGGGCAGAACCCCATCCCCACCCCGTTCTGTATGTGGGGCTGTGTAGTGACTCCATTTGTTTCTTGTCCGCCCACCTCCCCATCCCCACAGGCCAAGACGGAGGAACAAATTGCAGCCGAGGAGGCCTGGTATGAGACGGATAAAGTGTGGCTGGTCCACAAGGATGGCTTCTCCTTAGGTAAGTGGGGGTCAGTTGTGCAGGTGGTGGGCTTCCTTTTCATGACTTGGGCTCAATCTTCCAGAGAGGCTTCCTGTCCCCAGCTACCCCCAGTTCCCACCAGCAATGTGGGGCTGGGATGAGGTGTTCGTTGAAGGGGCCGTGTGCTGGAGGATAATATAAATAGCACAGAGAGGAACGAAGGGAAATTCTATTTCAAAATAGTAGAACTGTGGGTTGCTGCTCGATGAAAGCAGCAGGTAACTGAAGGGGTAGAAGGGGAAGTAAGTGTGTGTACACACACACACACACACACACAGAGAGAGAGAGAGAGAGAGAGAGAGAGAGAGAGAGAGAGAGAGAAATCCCCCAGTACAAATGGACCTTCTAAGTTAATTGCCTCCGGATATTTTGATGGCTATAGCTTGGGAAATTGAGTGGGCTGGGGGGGAAGTGGGTTACAAAGTGGAAGGATAATTTTCATCCCCCTCTCAAAATACTCATGGACATCCAATGAAGCTAAATGTTGGAAGATTCAGGACAGATTTTTTGAAATGTCATTCTTCACACTGCTCCTGCTGACACGTCTGTTTCGGGAGACAGTGGAGGAGTTCTCCTTTGGGGGTGAAGTCAAACTCTTGGAATGTTACAGCGCCTACTGTGGCTGTAGAGACCGGTACGCGAGAGACATGTTTTGTTGCAGCTGGGGCAGATGAAGGCGTCCAGTGCTACTGCTGCTGCTGCAGATGCACCAGGGTGTTTCTTCTCTCTGTGCTCCTCCCAGGGGTCACTCCTCCTCTGGTCACTGCTATGGATGCAGGAGCTGACTGTCTCCGGGCGCTGTGACTGTCTGCAAGGGATCCCCACACAGTGTTGCCGGCCTTCATGTCATGTTTGCCTTCTTGCCAGTGCATATTTAAAGTGTAGAACTTGCTGCCACAGAGGCACTGATGGCCACCAACCTGGATGGCTTCAAAAGAGGATAGACAAATTCATGGAGGCTCTAGAGCAGCGGTTCTCAACCTGTGGGTCCCCAGATGTTGTTGGACTACAACCCCCATCATCCCTGAGCTCCGGCCTTGATAGCTAGGGGTGATGGGAGTTGTAGTTCAACAACATCTGGGGACCCACAGGTTGAGAACCGCTGCTCTAGAGGGTTAACAATGGTTACTTGCCCCAAGGGCTGCGCTCTGCTTCTGGGGTCGGAGGCAGCAATGCTTCTGAATGCCAGTTTTTGGAAAATGCAGGAAATGAGAGTGCTCTTGTGCTCGGATCCTGCTTGCAGGTTTCCCATGGGTACCTGGTCTGCCACTGTGAGAACAGGATGCTGGACTAGATGGCCATTAGCCTAATCCAGCAGGGCACATCTTTTGTCCTGGAAAGCATTTTGTGTTTGGTTGGGCCACTAGGTGGCAGCATCACATTACCTCTGAGGTTTCCCTCCATGTGTGTTGTGTCTCTTTCATACAACTGACCCTTGCGCCCTGCTTCCCTGCCCGCACAGCAAGCCAGCTGAAGACTGATGCTGCCGGCCTTCTGCCCGAGGGGAAAGTCAAGGTGAAACTGGACTACGATGGAGCTCAGCTCGAGGTGGATGAAGACGACGTGGAAAAGGTAGGCATGGGGGCTGCGCCAGCTGTGTCTCACCTGCAGCCAATGCTGGATTGACTCCTTGTTCTGCCCAGGTTAACGATATTCCCCCTCTCTCTGCCCAGGCCAACCCTCCGTCGTGCGACCGCGTGGAGGACCTGGCCAGCCTTGTGTACCTCAATGAGTCTAGCGTCCTGCACACGCTCCGCCAGCGCTATGGCGGGAACCTCATTCACACCTACGCTGGGCCCAACATGGTGGTCATCAACCCTCTCAGCTCTCCATCCATGTACTCTGAGAAGGTGAGTGTTGCGGCCGGGTAGGGTGGAGCGGGTTGGCACAGCGGGCGCTCATTCATTTCTTTGCTTGTTCCTCACTTTGTTTGTATGCTGCTTTCCCAAGAGGAAAGAATCCTGCTCAGAGCCGTTTACAACAAAGAAAAGAGGAATGTATCCCAGAATCGCCCACTGCAAGAACAATTTAATAATAAATAACAATGAAACAGCAAATATAACAATAGCAAATATAACAACATACCCGGGGGGGGGGACACATTTCAGGACTATAACTATAACAAGATTGCATTAACTACACAATACTTCCTGGCTGTAGCAGAAATAACAAGGGGGCTTGACAGTTTCACCTTGGTTCTAGAAACACCCTCCCCCTTGGTGGGTTTCTCACAGTCCCTCTCCTGCTGCAACTTGCAAGGCTTGCAGAAGTAGGGGGTGGGGTAGCTGTAAATGCTCCCTCCCATGCTGTTACTCATTGTTGGGGCTGGCCATGACTTTGGATATTCCCTTTGGGAGAGGAGAGGGGGCAATGGTCTTTGATATCCCCCCAGTGGAGACGATTGAAGGCTCAAAGTGCCCCTGTTAAAGCCACTCTTTGCTCCCCAGGTGGGACTGCAGAGTTCTGTTATTTACTTAGAAAATGCATAAACTGCTTAGGAATGTAGGAAGCTTCCTTATACTGACTCAGACCATTGGTCCATCTAGCTAATTATAGTCTGTACAGTCATACCTCAGGTTACAGACGCTTCAGGTTGCGCGTTTTCGGGTTACGGACGTGCCAAAACCCGGAAGTACCGGAATGGGTTACTTCCGGGTTTCGGCGCTAGCGCATGTGCAAAAGTGCTAAATTGCGCTTTGCACACGTGCAGAAGCGCCGAATCGCGACCCACACATGTGCAGACGCGGCGCTGCGGGTTGCGAACATGCCTCCTGCACGGAACACGTTTGCTGTACTGACTGGCAGGGGCTTTCCAAGGAGGGCATCTTTCCCAGCCCATACTTGAATGTGGGACCTTCTGCATGCAAAGCAGCTTCTCTTCCACTGAGCTACAGCCCTTCGCTTGATTAAAAACTTTTTATAAATAAAAAGTTATCCAAGTGGTGTACGAATAAGATAGGAGAACACAGCTGAAACCTGAAGTGAATTAAAAACATGTAAAATAGTTACCCTTGAAACAAATATGCGTAGAACCATCAACAAAGGCAAAATCAATAGAACCTTTAAAACAGATGTGGGTAACTTAATGGCTTTCCAAAGCAAAAGAGTGTTCATTAGGCACCTAAAACACTGTAATGAGAGCGCCTGTCTGGTGTCAATAGGCAAGGAGTTCCAAAGTGCAGGGCTGCCCCACAAAATGATTGACTCCTCACAGATGTAGTGAGGAGAATCTTCTCTGCAGTGCGTCACTCATGCTGTTTGTTTGTCTGTGTGTACTGAAATTTATAGACCACATTTTTATTGGTAGCTCAAAGAATAGAGATTTAAAAATCGACATCTGGTTAGTGTTGATCAATAGACCAGATTGATAACATGGCATGATAGCAGCACAGCTGGGTAGCATCCCTAAATCCATCATTAATTTCTTATCTAGATTTACACCCCCCACTCTTGAAATACATTATCGGGGGTGGGGGTTACGGTGGCTTACAATAAAGCATAAAACCACAATTGCCATCAAATATTTTAGGATGTATATCCTTGTTTCATAATCATTTTTATAAGCAGCTTTGAGTTTATTTGTTGTTGTTAAAGTGATTAATAAGAACAGAAGACCCCCTTTTTTAACTGGACATGCTGTTGGGGACTGAACCTGGGACCTTCTGCTTCCAAATAGATGCTCTATCACTGAGCTACAGCCTCCGCTCTCTCCCCTTCTCTCTGGGGTTCCTGTTTCCCAGTTCCAGAAGCCATGCCTGCTTTAATTCTCCCAGCATCTCCTCTCCCGCTTGCCCTTTTGCTCCCTCTCCGATGCCGCACTTAATGCTGCCGCTTCCTCCAGGTGATGCACATGTTCAAGGGCTGCCGCAAGGAGGACACCTCCCCCCACATCTACGCCGTGGCCCAGGCCGCCTACCGGAACATGCTCATGAGCCGCCAGGACCAGTCCATCGTTCTGCTGGGGAGCAGCAGCAGCGGAAAGACCACCAATTGCCAGCACCTGGTCCAGTACTTGGCCACAGTTGCTGGCAGCTCCGGGAAGGTATTCTCAGGTGGGTGTGTGGCCAGCAGTGGCCTCGGCTCCTTCTAGAGGCCCTTGGGGTTGGGGGCAGCCCTTGGGAAAGCAGGTGGAAATGAGGACATTTCTACTGAATGTTTAGCCTGGAGAAGAGGAGGTTAAGGGGTGATATGATAGCCATGTTCAAATATATAAAAGGATGTCATATAGAGGAGGGAGAAAGGTTGTTTTCTGCTGCTCCAGAGAAGCAGACACAGAGCAATGGATCCAAACTACAAGAAAGAAGATTCCACCTAAACATTAGGAAGAACTTCCTGACAGCAAGAGCTGTTCGACAGTGGAATTTGCTGCCAAGGAGTGTGGTGGAGTCTCCTTCTTTGGAGGTCTTTAAGCAGAGGCTTGACAACCATATGTCAGGAGTGCTCTGATGGTGTTTCCTGCTTGGCAGGGGGTTGGACTCGATGGCCCTTGTGTTCTATTCCAACTCTATGATTCTATGATTCTATTCTATGATGTTCAAGGGAACCCATGCCACCAAATAGCAAGGAGCACACCAAGCTCTCGTCCTGTTTCTTTTACAAAATAAATGTCTTTGTTGGAATTTAACAATTATTTTTATTAGCAAAGAAAAGAAAAGAAACCAAGAGTAAACAAATGCAATTTTACAGCAGGTTGAAAGCAGCATATGATGAAGCTTACTGTTCCAAAACATTATGAAAGATGCCAATTTTTCCATAAATCTGTTAGGCTGGTTCCTATGTATTCTTCTGTGGTGTTAACTTAATCATAGATCAAATTTCCTGTCCATTCGGATATAGAAGGAGACGTGCTCCCCTCCCTCCATTTAGCTATGACAGTTTTAGAAGCAGTTCTAAGGTTAACAGTATTTTCCAAAGTAACATATTTTAGATAACCAAGTAGAAATGACTAGGATGTACAATGTCCTAACATAACAGAGATATTGGCCTGAACAGATTTCCAGACTTTATATTTGAGGCCAATTGATGTGTGTGTGTGTGTGTGTGTGTGTGTGTGTGTGTGTGTGTGAAAAGCAAACAAGTGAACAATATACAAAACAAACAGGATGTGGTACACTAACCAAAGGAAAACATAGCTCCAGCATTCCAACGAAAACCCAAGAGAGTTGGAAGTCATTTTACAGGCTCACAATAAATAGCACATTACAAGCCCCCTGTGCTGTTTTTGTTTTCTGTTTGTTTCAACATTGGTTTCAAGTCAGTGATCCTTGGGAATTGTATACAGCTACGTAGATTTTTGAGAGGCGGGTGGAAGAATCTTGACTCCATTGTTGGGTCACGTACATTATGAGAGGCTACCACATCCCATCAAATTCCTCCCTTCCTGTTTTTAAGAGGAGGCCCTTCAGGGACGCTGAACTCATTATCCGACCGTTGGTCCATCTGACTCAGTATTTTCTGTGCTGACTTACAATAGCTCTTTAGGAATTCAAGCAGAATCCTTCCCTGCCCTAGCTGGAGATGCCATTGTTTTATTTTTAGACCGATCTGAGCAATACTGAAGACTACAGCTCCCATCATCCCTAACTACAACTAGAGACCCAAGTTCGAGAAACACTGGTCAGGCTTCCCGTTGGGTCAACTGGTTGGCCACTGTGAGAAGAGGGTGCTGTGCTAGATGCAGCAGCCAAGCTCTTCTTATGTTCTTCTTAAGAGGAAAGATATTGCAGATGGAGGAAGAAGGAGGTGGACTTTGCAGATCTCGCAGAGAACCTCAGAAGAGCCTTGCAGCTGGATCAGGCCTAGGGGCCCATCTAGTTGACCATCTTCTTCTCACAGTGGCCTGTATGGGAATCTCTTGCAAAGCTGAACTGAGCTGGTGTAATGGAAGAGGCAAGCGGATCCTGAACCGACATGCCCTGGGCTACCTAAGTCTCTCTTTCCTATCCCTGTCCCTCCACTCTCAAAATCCTGCTGCAACCGCCCTCCGCTTACTCTTTGTTGGAGAAGTGCTGACCCCTGTTGTTGTTCTCTGGTTTACTGGTTGCTGTGTGCTGCTGTAGTGCCCCTTTTAGCCTGTCTCTTCAACCTCCAGCAGCCAGGATCCTGTCTTTTCTCTCTGACTTGACAGCTCCTCTGAAATCTGACCGTATTCCTTTCCGGATGGGTGGTGCCTGATTGACACTGTCAGCACTGCATTTCACAGGGATGCTAACTATTTGACACTCAAAATGTCCCTTGCTTTGAGTTGAGTAACTTGCATGGCACAGTGCCACACAGTCTGGGGGGTGGCAAATCTGCTAAGGGGTGATGCAGTCAGGTAAGGGGTCCCTCTCGGCCCCTTGAGATGATGACTGGTCTATTGGGGTTGTGGGGGTGGGGTGCACACACATGCTTGCCAGTTCATCTACACATATGTGAGCGTGCCCCCACGCACAACAATGGTCTGCCCCTGCATGCTTTTCCTTGCTTTGCCTTGGCAGCGGAGAAGTGGCAAGCACTGTACACCATCCTGGAGGCCTTTGGCAACAGCGGCACGAGCCTGAACGCCAACGCCACCCGCTTCTCACAGATAATCTCGCTGGACTTTGACCAGGCTGGGCAGGTGGCCTCTGCCTCTGTGCAGGTGAGAGGGTGTGTCTGTGTGTTGCACACACTTCTAGCAGGTTCTTATTATGTTCTTGTATACCTGCAGCAGTAAGCACTGGTAGTTGTCTTATCCTGAGTCAGACTTTTTTGGTCCATCTAGATCAGACTTTTCTACTCGCAGTCGTTCTCCAGGGTTTTAGACAGGGGTCCTTCCCAGCCCTCCCTGGACTGAACTTTCTGGGACTTCCTGCATGCAGAACAAATGCTCTGCCATTGAGCTATCACCCTTCCCTCAAAAATAAAGTGAAATTCCAGCCCTCATGGTGTTGAATTAAAGGCTGGTTTAAATAGGAATGTAGAAAACTTCCTTCTCTGGAGGCAGACCATTGGCACATCTAGCTCATTATTGTCTGCACTGACAGGCAGGTATGATCTACGGTTTCATGGGGGGATGGTATTTCTCAGCCCTATCTGGAGATGCCATTGGGGATTGAACCTGGGGCCTTCCGCATGCAAAAGAGGTGCTCTGTCACTGAGTTACAGCCCTTTTCGCGTTTGCAAGTAATAGGGGGCTTGTAGGCCATGCTGTCATGGCTGTGATGGTCCTGAGCCTCACAAAATTAGCCAGAAGTGAGAGTATGACAGAAGGTGGGGTGGGGTAGGAGCTGGGCTTCTGCAGGAAGTTATTGGGGCCAAAGTGGGAACCCTCTGGCCTTGTACCACGCAGACCTTTTCTCTCTCTGATTGCATCCCTCAGACGATGCTGCTGGAGAAACTCAGGGTTGCCAAGCGCCCCGCGAATGAGGCCACCTTCAACGTGTTCTACTACTTGCTGGCCTGTTCGGACAATGCCCTCCGGTAAGGAGGCTGCTGCAGCTCCCAACTCAAGGGACCAGCGCCTGCCTGGTTGCATGTGTTGCAGTGTCCACCTGGCTTGGGGCTTGGTTGGAAGGAAGCAAGCAAGATAGCTTTTTCAAAGGTGGCTTTGAAGCCTACTTGAAACCTTCAACTGGTCTGAAATGCAGGGCCCAGATTACTGGCTGGGGTTGCCTTGGGAACTGGAGGCCAGCAATGCTTCTGAATACCAGTTGCTGGATGCCACTGGAGGGCAAAGGGCTCTTGAATCTTGCTTGCAGATTTCCCACAGGTATCTGGTTGGTCACTGTAAGAAGATGATGCTGGACTAGGTGCATCATTGACCTGATCCAGCAGGCTCTTCTTATGTGTGTCCGGCCTCCTGTGTTTCTTTCCCGCTGTCCAAAATTGTCATAAAATGTCCTTTGAGGTGAGACAAGTCTCACAGCTCTGCCTTGCAAGGGTTTGTCAGCCTCTTCAGATCTGTTTTGGATATATTCAAATGCCTCTGTGCATATAAGTGAGGAAGGTCTCTCCCCACTGATTAACCGCAGCCCAGCCAGCCCTGAAGTGAGGGGGCAGGACAGTGCAGACCCAGGGGCCTTGATGTCCTGAGTGGTTTTAGGAATTCTGTCTGCTTCTGGCAAATGGAGCTTTTGTTTTTGCTTTAAAAAGATTTTTATTTATGTGCAAAAACTACAACATCACATAAGAAAAGAAAAACGAGGACAATTCAAACCCTTTAGGTCTTGGATGTTTTGTGATAAAACATGGGCCTGATAATCTTGTAGTTATTGGCTGGGGTAATAATGTGCAAATCGTTTCAATTTCTAAGCATCCTCTGGAGGCAGCTGAACATAAATCAAAATCCACAGGGCTCCTGCAAACCAAGGCAACCCTTGTTTTAGTGCAGGGGGTGGGCTGGGGGGAGGGCAAAGTGGGCCTTTCTAAATTGGGATGCTGCCTCCAGCGCTCTCTCTTGACTCTGTCCTCTTCCCCTCCACCCCCAGGACGGAGCTTCATTTCAACCACTTGGCAGAAAACAACTTCTTTGGGATTGTACCCCTGTCAAAGGTAAGGTAGCTCAGTCGTAGAAGGGATGGAGCTAGAGTCAGACCATCTGGCTCAATATTGTCTACACTGACTGGCAGCAAGGACTCTCAGGCAGGAGTCTCGCAGCTCTACCTGGAGGCCATTGGGGATTGAGCTTGGGACCTTCTGCTTGCAAGACAGATGCTCTACCACTGAGCTATGTCTCCTCTCCTCTTTCTTGATGGGCGGTTGGGCCGCTGAGGGGATCAGAGGTCTGCACGGGTTGCTGGCTAGTGACTGGGAGAGGCTCACAGTATTGTTGTTAGTATGCAAAGCCTTCAATGCTTCGTGACCACTTTGTGACCACTTTGCTTGAAAGATCTCCTCCTCCCATATGTGCCCTCTTTTGACTGCTTTGATCTGTGGGGCTGACATTGCTCTGAGTGTCACATTATGTTCATTCTGCCCTTGCAAGAAATCAGTAGCATGGCAGCCCCAACGCTTCGGATCTCTGCACTGTACTGTTTTTGGTGCCTGCTAAAAGCTTCATTGTTCCCAGCAAGCCTGCTGAGGCCTTTAATTTTAGCATGTAATCTCGATGATGTGATTTTAGCAAGTATAAGTGTTTTATAATGACTGGTTTTCTTTTATCTTTATGTAAATTGCTTTCTATTGGTATCTTCAGCGACTGTTCATTGTAAGCTGCTTGGAGGTATTTCCTTCCAGTAAGCGGTACATAAATTTTGTTAAATAAAAACAAGCCTGCTGTGTGAAAGCTCTGGTTGGCTAGCTTTGCGGGACAAAGCGGAAAAGTCACCTACCACCAAGAGCTTTTACCCTTGTTCCTGAGGACTTGCATGCAGATTTTTAATTAAAAGCTGTGTGGGGTCCCTGTTCTTGCTTCCCTGCTCACTCTCTCACCATAAGAGGCAGGGGCATGTGTGTGCTTGTGCCCTGAGCCGGCCACCCGTGGGCCTGTGGATCTTGGCCGTTGTGCCACGTAAGCCAGCACAGGAAACTACCCCACGTGGCCCTACTGCAGATGCCATTTACTGAGCAATTATAAACAGGCTCCCCATTTTTTTTTTTGGTGCAGGCCAATTGACTGTGTATTTTGTTTTATTTATTTCCTGTTGGCTGCAGCCGGAGGAGAAGCAGAAGGCCGCCCAGCAGTTCAGCAAGCTCCAGGCAGCCATGAAAGTGATGGGCATCTCCAGTGATGAGCAGAAAGCCTTCTGGCTTGTCCTGGGGGCTGTTTATCACTTGGGGGCTGCAGGAGCCACCAAAGGTAATGGGCCAAGCTCTTCGAGAGCTGCCTTGCTTGGGCGCTAGAAGTGGCTTCGTTGCTGCTGAGTTGGGCTTGGGGTTCCCTTTAGGACACAGGGATGGGAAACCTTCACCCCCTCTTGGCCAGACGTGAGCCTCCTTGGACCCCTATGAGGTTGTTTCTTACCGAATTAACATTTATTTTATTATCAATACCGCGTTTATATCCCACCTTTTCCTCCAAGGAGCTCAAGGTTGTCCCCACTCTTCTCCACCTCTCCATTTTATCCTCACAACAGCCCTGTGAAGTAGGTTAGGCTGATGGTGAATGGCCCATGCCTTCATGGCTGAACAATATGCAATCTCAGACGTGGAGTGGGTAGAGACACAGCCTCAGAAAGGATTGAGCTCTCCCTGCACACCATTGCAGCAGTCCTGCTTTCTGCAGTCTCTCCCCTCACCCCTTTGACAAGTGGGCAGAAGGACCCACTTGTCAATCACCTGACGTCAAAATGAAGAGCAGGCGGGATGAAGTTTGAATGGAAGAGCTTCAGACAGAGGAGGAGGAGGAGCCAAGTGAAGCCAGGCTGTCGTCAGAGTTGCTGGACTGGACCTTGCTCCTTCTCTGACCCTCTGACCTCCATTGCAGGAATTGCTGCTTGACAGCTAATAGATGAGGGAGCGGAGCAACCGGACAGAGCTGGTCTGTCTTCAAGTTGATAACTGCTCTGGAAGTGGGTGGCTGGGAAATTCCTTTGCGACATCACAAGAACTGCATGGATCAGCCCCCTCCCTACCACACATCAGCCCCAAAGAAGAGAGGGTTCATTTGGATTCTGTGCCTCCAAGTCTGCCCCGCTGCTCTGGAAACAGAAATTGGTACCTCATGTTTTCTGCAGTCACACTCAGACATAACCAGGAGAGGGCAGTCCATCACAGGGCTCAGCGCTACAGCTACTGCCTTGTGCACTTTGGGCAACGTGTGTGTGTGTGTGTGTGTGTGTGTGTGTGTGTGTGTGTGTTCGTCTAGTGTTTTGCAGCGGCTGGCTTGCTGCTAACACCTGTTCTTTGGGTGTGTGTTTGTGATTTAATCTATTCCCTGAGCAATGAGTGAGTCGGTTGCTTGGAGCTGTCAGCATCTCTGCTTTAGATGTAGCCCCGTCTTTCAGGCAGGGTTGCCATGGCGGTGGTGGGCAGCCCACATCTCATCCCTGAGTTTTAGATCACCTGTGATTATCCCTCAGCGGCAGTGAGATCCTCTGCTTGTCACATGGCATTAGGAAGGAACCGTGGCCAATTTTTCTTTTCAACCTTTTCCTTGCTATATTAAAATCCCGAGCAGGTCTTAGGCCCTTGCTCTGGAACATAGGAAGCTGTCCTGTGCTCCGTCTACCAAAATGTTTGACTGACAGCAGCTCTCCAGCTTTTCAGGCAGGGAGTGTCTCCCACCCTACCTGGAGATGTTGTTGGGGATTGAACCCTCAACCTTCTGCATGCCAAGCAGATGCTGTATCCATGAGAGAGGTTTGCTCCCTTAGGAACACAGGAAGCTGCCTTCTACTGAGTCAGGCTGGCTGAGTATTGTCTGCACTGTCTGGCAGCCGTGGCTCCCCAGGGTTTCAGGGAGATGCCATTGGGGGGTCGAACCTGCAACCTTCTGCATGCGAAGCAGCTGCTTTATACCCCTGAGCTATGTCCCTTCCCCAGTCCTGCCTCCACTCCACTGACACCTGGAACTGTGCTCCTTCCCATCTAGCTGGTGGAGACAAACTGTGATATGCAGCCCAGAAATCTTGGACCCCTTCTGCAATTAGCTTTAACTCCACAACTTTGGGATGGGTTTTTTTGTCTCATGAAAGTGTGTGTGTGTGTGTGTGTGTGCCTCACCTGCCTTTGTTGCACCTGATGTCTCTGCAGGAACCTTTTTATGTCAAAGCTGTGTTCTAACTCCCCTCTCTTTGTGTTTGCATGGTGCATGCTGCTCCCTTTGCAATGCAGACGGCGACGAAGGTAAAGCCCCTTTCCTTGCGCCCCCCCAATGAAATCCACCTCCCCTCTGCCCTTTCTCTTCCTCATCCCCCTCCACCCACATTCTTCCATACCCATGTTTGGTGCCTTCTGGCACACAGGGCTGGTTAGCTCAGTCCCATTTACCACCTCCCCCTGGTGAGCTCGCTGCCCCGGATCCTCCTTAGAAGTGGGCCACCATGGTGGCCCTGGGAGTTCACCCTCTTCCTCTGTGCCATGGTCATGGGGGCAGGAGTTGGGTGGGCTGTCTGTACATAGGAAGCTGCTTTATAGAGAGACTAATTGCATTAGTCCATGCAGTTCAGTGCTCTCTACACTGACTGGCAGGGGGTCTTTTCCAGCCCTACCATTGGGGAATGAAACAGGTTCTCTGCCACTGAGCTATGGCACTTTCCCTAAAAAACATAAGAACCCAAGAAGCTGCCCCATACCGAATCAGGTCGCTAGGTGTCTCACCTAGCTTGATATTGCCTGCACTGACTGGCAGCAGCGCTCCAGGCTTTCAGGCAGGCAGCCTTCCCCAGACCTGCCTGCAGATGCCCTAGGGGCTGCATGTATCATGCAGCTGGTGGTCAGTCCTTCCCATCTTCACCTCAAACCAGCTACGGTGCCCCTCCCTCCCTTCCCCACGTCACGTGTTAAGCAGTTTTGCACAGGAGGGTCTAGAAACTTGAATGCTTGGCATAATTTACTGTGGACCTCTGTGTGTGGCTATCATTGACCCCCCCCCCGAAAAAACTTGTATTGTCTTCTGTCTCTTCTGCTTTGCATAGAAATGTGCTGGACCAGGCCTGTCCTGCACAGCCTCACCTTCTAACTTCTGAGCAGCACTTGGTCCTTCATGACACCCTGTGCAAAGGAGAAATAATCCCTTTCCCCCTGGATATCTATGGGTGGGCAACCCCACCCCAACTGAAACCTCTGAAGATGTGCCCCTTCCTCTGTGGCCCCAGGAAGGCCCAGTGTTAAGAGTGGGATGGCTTCACTTACTGTTAGGAATACAGGAAGCTGCCTTGCACTGAGTCCATCTGGCTCAGTATCGTCAGCACTGACTGGCAGCAATGGCTCTCCGGGGTTTCAGGCAGAGTGTCCCCCCTAACTCTGCCAGGATATGCCCCTGAGGTTTGAACCGGGGACCTTCTGCTTGCAAGGCAGATCCTCTGCCACCCTCTGCCACAGCTATGTTTCTTGATGGGCAGGTGGACAGCTGGGTGGCTGTCACCAGCAGGTGATGTTTCTGGTTGTCCCCCACCTCCCACCCCCCAGTTCTGGCAAGGCGGAGAGAGGGCTGCCTTTCTGCTATTCTCTCCACAGCCCCTTCTTCCCTGGCTGCCTACAGCCCGTCCTGCAATGGCTCATTGCCATGCTTAGCCTGGCAAGAAGCATTAAGCTGTTGACCTCCAATCTCCCCTCATCAGGCACCTAAATACATTTTCATTATGTCTCTCTCTCTCTTTGCCCCCTCACATTTCTTTCACCCCTCCCTTCCCCAGCAACGTCTTGCTTTTTAATTCTGTACAATGTGAACGATGACAAGGCCAAGCAGTGGGTCGTGCCATGCCGAACCCTGATAAAGCGTGATCCCTCACCTAATGAATTTTATTCCCTTTCCACTGTTCATGTGTGGAGAATCAGACGCTTGTGTTGTCCCTGGCAGGCCCCTCCTCTCCCCTCCCCTCCTGGCCTCCTCCTTCCACATTGCGAGTGGGGCCTGGAGCTCTCTGTTGACAAGGGGAAGGATGAGTGCTGGCTTGCATATGGTGCTGAGTCCTTGGGTCCTTTCCAGAAATGTCTCCTCTTCCCCACCCCCACCGGGCCAGCACAAGGGAGCCTCTTCACTTCTCTTGACTCAGACCTGATGCGCTCTCTCTCTCTCTCTCTCTCTCTCTCTCTCTCTCTCTCTCTCTCTCCATCCCTCCCTCCTCTCTTTTCAGCTGGGAGGAAGCAGTTTGCTCGCCACGAGTGGGCCCAGAAAGCAGCCTACCTGCTGGGCTGCACACTGGAAGAGCTGTCCTCATCCATCTTCAAGCACCAGCCCAAAGGGACCCTGCAAAGATCCACCTCCTTCCGCCAGGGGCCGGAGGAAGCTGCCTTGGCAGATGGCTCAGGTAAGTTGAACCTGCAAGGGTCAGAAGCCTCAGAAGTAGAGCGAGGCGGGGCCATCGGTCCTTCCTGTCCCTTATATATGTGCACGCACACACAACTGTTAGTCACATCCAGTAATTTCAATGGGTCTGTTGCTCTTGGCATCCATCTGCCTTGGGAGACAATGGAAGTGTGCGCCTTCAGGGGTGAAATCAAACCGCAGGAGAATCACAGCTCCTGCTGTGGCTGTAGAGACCGGGAACTCGTCACTGCGGCCTCCTGTGTTGTTTTTGCTGCGTTTGCAGCCCCCAAGTGACCTCCCCAGGGCTGTATGGAGGTCCTGGGCTGCCCAGACAACAAGACCCCTCCTCAGCCTCACTGGTGTGGTCCAAAGATAAGCAGAGCAAGACATTTCCATCAACTCCAGGAGTTGCACAAGGCGCCATCCAACCGTCTTAAGGATTTCACTCTGGATCCGTGGAGGGTTTTCTCCTTAGCCTTTTCTTCTCTCAAGGATATCCTGCAAGGCAGCGGAGGTTTAGGATCAGAGATTTCCTTCTCCTAGATGGGCTACCTTTCCAGGTGGATGAGCCCCATCAGCTTCCCCTCCCCCATATTATATCCCCCTGCAATCCCTACACAGATCTGGCTGGCACAGGACACAAAACCACAGCTCGCCCCTATACACGAAGCCAAGCCAGAGCACAACTAAGTGCAGTACAGCCATCTTCTCAGAAAAACTCTTCACAAAGTTCAAGAGGTCAAGACACGAAGGCTTTAGCAACTAATCCACACCTAATGACCCACCTAAGTGGTACTCAGAATATCACTCAAGAAATCACTCAAGATATCCCTCAAGTAATTAAGGAACAAAAGAAGAAAAGGCACACTAGCCTGGGAACTTCCTCTCTGCCCAGAACATTGGAGGCTATACACCACACCCCCTCAACAGTATTTATAGGAACTCAAACACTGAGATCCTGCTCTGTTCCAGTAACAAGAAGCCGAAAGCACCAGCCTGAAGATGACGAGTGAGACCTCGTCGAAACGTCGCCTAGACACCCCAACTTTTACACGGGAAGACACCCGAGGACACCAAAACCTGCATATATATATATATATATATATATATATATATATATATAACTAATATTTATTCAAAGTTTAAAGTTACAAAAAAAAGCAATACAAAATACAAAGAAAAAGAATACAACAATAACAGAAAAAAAGGTATGAAAATACATTCACTTAAAACAGAAAAAGAACAGATTAAACCTTTACAAACTTTCTTCCTTTACTTGTTTCCTTGACCTCCTCATACCTCCCAATTTTGTATTCTAATTCCAATCGTTTTTTCAGCAAATCCTTCCAAACTTATTTTCATTTAAATAATTTCATTTAATATATTATAGTTTAATGTCCTCTCTTTCGTCAATTTCATCAACTCATTTTTACTTAATCCTTTATATCATATCTACCAAAACTACCTAATTTTCTTTTTCCAACATCTTTCTAACAGTCCTTAATTTTACAATGTTTTTGAAGATATACTTTAAATTTTTTCCAATCTTCTTCCACCGACTCTTCCCCTTGGTCCCATTTTCAATTACAGCATGCGCAGAAATCACCTGCTTGACCGTGGGAGCCGCTGTTGGTCTCACCCGCTCATTCCACTGGATTCAATGGGTCTGCTCTAATTAACATTGGATACAACACACAATCTCTTGTTTTAATACATTTTCATCTATGCAACCCACGCTTTCTTCTTTTAATAAATTTCCTTCTATGTAACAGCGGCACAGAAAAGTACAGCATCCCAAAAATGATTAAAGAGAGGCATTTTAAAAGGGTTTTTGTTGATTGGGGTAGGACACACATCAAAGGATTTTAAAATGTGCTTTTAATAAACAGAGGTCAGGTCCAAATGACAATCATAATTAGAATCTATCCATTATTATGTCACAATGGTAGCAGAGGATTGAGGAATAAATTTCTGGATATATTGCTTTTAAACTCCAAAGATCACTTTCTCCAAATGTCACTACATTTAGGATTGGATAGCATGTTTAAATGAATAGATACTTAAAAAATAAAAATAAAAAATCCCAACCCACATCTAATTGCATGGAATCATCTCTGTGTCTAGAATTCCCAACAAAAAATATTCTGGGCTTTTTAAAAAAATTGCATGTAGCCCCATTTTCACTTATCACACAAGGTATTGTTTTGGGGGGAGGAATTAAAAACAAGGGAACATGAGGAGCAGAGCCTGGCTGCTGGATGAGGCCAGTGGCCCCTCTAGTCCAGCCTCCTGTTCTCAGAGTGGTTGGCCAGGTGCCCTGGTGGGAAACCTGTAAAAGCAGAGCTGGAGCGCAAGAGCCACACTCTCCCCTCCTGCTGCTGGCATTCAGAGGCGTATTGCTGCAGACAGTGGAGAGAGAACATAGCCGTCAGGGCTAGCCTTACCGGCAGCCTTATTCTCCTCCATGAATTTGTCTCATTCTCTTTTAAAGCCCTTTATCATGTGGGCCATTGCTATCTCATTTGGCAAGGAGTTCCATAGTTCAAAAGAAGTCCTTTCTTTTAGCTGCCCTGAATCTTCCAGCATTCAGATTCATTGAACAAGTTCTAGTGTGTATTTTTTAAAAGATTAATAAACAATTATTTGGGGATGCGGGTGGCGCTGTGGGTAAAAGTCTCAGCGCCTAGGGCTTGCCGATCGAAAGGTCGGCGGTTCGAATCCCCGCGGCGGGGTGCGCTCCCGTTGTTCGGTCCCAGCGCCTGCCAACCTAGCAGTTCAAAAGCACCCCCGGGTGCAAGTAGATAAATAGGGACTGCTTACTAGCGGGAAGGTAAACGGCGTTTCCGTGTGTGGCTCTGGCTCGCCAGATGCAGCTTGTCACGCTGGCCACGTGACCCGGAAGTGTCTGCGGACAGCGCTGGCCCCCAGCCTCTTGAGTGAGATGGGCGCACAACCCTAGAGTCTGTCAAGACTGGCCCGTACGGGCAGGGGTACCTTTAACTTTACCTTAAACAATTATTCAAAAGTTACAATAACAGCTTTGCCCGCTGCCATAATATCATAAAATGATCACTCCCTGAGTTCTAGTGTTATATGAGAGAGAGAGAGAGAGAGAGAGAGAGAGAAAGAAAGAAAGAAAGAAAGAAAGAAAGAAAGAAAGAAAGAAAAGCTTTTTTCTATACACTTTCTGTATCGTGTGTCATTTTATCCTTTCCTCCTCACTGTGGTATCTGAAGAAGTGTGCATGCACACGAAAGCTCATACCAAGAACTAACTTAGTTGGTCTTTAAGGTGCTACTGGAAGGAATTTTTTTTGTCCTCACTGAGGGTGTCTCTTGTCTCTCACTCCCCCAGGCCCAAAGACCACTGCTCTGGAGTGCTTGGAGGCCCTCGCCTCAGGCCTGTACTCTGAACTCTTCACGCTGCTCATCTCACTCCTCAACAGGTATGGAAGTGCCAGCACTGGGTCTTTCTAGGGATGGGGAGGCAGAGGATTCAAGCTTGCTTTCAGAGGCGGACCCAGCAAACCTGCACCTTCCAAAACGATGCGTTTATCAGAATGCAGCCATCTTTTGAAACGTGGCCGTTCTCCAGGCTTTGCAGTGCAAATTCTGGCTCCGTGGGAGGCCACCTACCTGCCTGGCATGCAGAAAGCCCCAGGTTCTGTCCCTAGTGGCATCTCCAGATGGAGCTGGGAAACATTCCTTGCCTAAAACCTTGGAGAGCTGCTGCCAGTCAGTGTAGACAATACTGAGTTGGATGGACCCATGGTCTGACTCAGTTTCAGGCAGCTTCCTGCAGAGAAACCAGAGGATACAGTGGAAAGCAGCTTCCTGTGTTCCTTTGTGTACAAAAATGCACATTCTAGCTTGGGGCCAGTTGTCAGGGCTTGAGCCAGGCATAGGTCAGCAACAAAAGCAATAAATCACTCGAGGCCAGAGCAGTTAAATGTTTATTCAAGAAAAGAAGCCCCAGCTCAGGCCTAGTGGTCTTGGCAATGCTTTCTAGGAGGTCTTGTCCTGATGGAACAGTTGCAAGGACTGAAGGCCCCTGCCTTCCCAATGCCCACTAGTGCCCGCTTTAAACATTTTCGTTACACAATGCCTGTCCAGACTATGTTGTCATCTGGTGTTTAGCTTATAGATGATTTATTTATTTTTTAACAGTTTCCAAATAGTTGTTTTGAACTATTTTTAACAGATAGTTTTATTGTTTTTGTAAATGGTTTTGGATACTTTTTTCCTTTACCGTCAAGCAGCATATAAATGTTGCGAAATAAAAAAAATAAAACATTCATATGTAAGTGAAAAGAACATGCAAAAACACATTACATGAGGGGAAATGGCTTTGCAAAAGCGTGGACGTTAAGGGAAGCTGCATACAGAAATGTGTGTGTTAGGAGAAACCTGCACTAAAATGCTTGATGACTTTTCATGGGGTCCTTAAATAAATTGCAAACCAATGTGGAGAACGGAACATTAGGCTGTAAAAAAAAGGATAAACCAAAATGGCCAGATTCACCCATCCCTGCTTCACCCAAGTTAAAAAACCCTCCTCCTCCTTCTCTTTCTTTCCCCCTCCTGTTGGCTAATCCTTAGCAAGCTCCATCAATGCGCCCGACCTTTTCAGACCCCAAGTGCATTAGCTGAGCTAACGAGGAGAGGAAAAGCTTTCCCCCCCTTCTAACAGAACTTCCCCATCCCTGCTTTGCAAGGCTGCTTCTGCAGAGCCGAGGGCAGCAGGGCTCCTGTTCCTTGGTCTGGCCCAGCTTGCCAGCATTACGCGGCCACCAAGTTGAATCCTGGAATGTTCTTAGCAGGCACTGCAAAGAGTACAGCGAAGGCTTACTTGATATCGATAGGCAGGGAATTGCAAAGGGTAGGTGCTGCAATTGGGTTCTTAAAAATGCAGAACAGGTATTGTCTGGCACCTGTAGCAGTGATAGTTTCACTGATCAAAGCAGTTGAGTGGGCACATGCAGGGTAAACTGGTCCCCAGTTATGGGTTTTATATACTAATAGCAGCACTTTGAACTTTTGGCACGGTAGCAGATCAGCAACCAGTGCAGATCTCTAAGCAATCCCAGAAATCACGGAATTGGGGTGGCTTCCTTTTTTCGCCAAGGCAGCAGAGGTCACAGCTGCATATGGAGAAGCAAAGACTGAATTAGGAGTCCCTGGAAAGGAGCACTTCTTTCTCTGGGGCTAATCTGTTAAGAGCCCTTCAAGATCAGGCCAGTGCTTTAAATGTATGGCACATTTGCAGCCATACTGCTGGCCAGTCCAGGGCTGTGGAGACCAGTGCTAACCCCTGCATTTTTAATACTTGGTGGCTTAAAGCCCTCTCCACCCTGCAGGAAAAAGAATCCTCTAACCCCACTTTTCCTCCTTTGTCTGCTGAGGGCCCTCAAGTCCAGCCAGCGGTCCTTGTGTTCCATGATGATTGTGGACACCCCCGGCTTCCAGAACCCCGAGATGGCCGGCCAGAGCCGCGGGGCCACTTTTGAAGAGCTGTGCCACAACTATGCCCAGGAGCGGCTGCAGACCCTCTTCCACGAGCGCACTTTCGTGCAGGAGCTGGAGAGATACAAGGAGGTATCGTCTGGTTTGGGGAAAAGGGGCTCATAGCTTCCACCCCAGTCCCTAACGCTCAAGCAGCAGGCAGTGCCTGAGTCAGTTCTCAGGTGGAAAGGGTGGGGCGCCCAGGTACTGTGCCGAGATACCCCCCCGTCTATCATCTGGCTTAATCCTTTTTTCTGCGCCACTTTCTAATTGAGACCCTAATTCAGCTGCTGATTGAAACCAACGAGGGAGGAGGCTCATTTTAGATCCCCCCTCTTATTAACCCTAATGAGTAGCATCTGATCTGCCACCTCCCAGGAGCAGGGGTTTTCATGAGTTGCCTCCCTTTCTCCCTCTTGCCCCCTTGAGGTCGTGTGGCCATCTGTCAGAAATTCTTTAGCTGTGACTGCTGCATTGCAGGGGGTTGGATAAGATGATTTCTTGGGGTGGGGGAGTTCCCACCCAACTCTAGAATTTTATGATACTGTGACTCCTCTCCCATCCCCTTAACCAGGTGTGGGAAGCCTGTGGCACTCCAGGTGTAGCTGAACTACAACTCCCATCAGCCCCAGCAAGGGATGATGGGAGCTTTGGTTCAGCAGCCTCTGGAGGACCAAAGTTTCCCCACACGTTTTCTTAAACCTTTGGCCTGCATTAATGCAGTAGAATGCTTTCTGCATCTGGCTGCAAAACCTCAACCCTGCACCCTTCTCTCCTGTGGTGACGTTGCCACTACCATGCCTGGGGTGCAGGACGCAGCCCTTCTCCCAAATTTGTGCACTGCAAGAGAGCAGCTAGCACAGCACAAGGAGTGGCCAAAATCAGAAATGCCACTCTGCAGGGGAGACGAGCCAGTTGCGTTTCTGAGACTCAGGAATCCAGGAAATATTGTGGTCTGAACATGACCTTTTTTTCCCCCAGAGGCAAAACCAAACTTTTTTTGGGTTTTTGTGTGTGTGTTATTCTGGGCCCCTGAGCTGTCCTTTCAGACACCTGGATTAAATCCGGAGTTTGTTTGAGTGGGATGGCTTGGGGTTGGTGATGGTGGTGAGATCAGGGTTGATGTCTCTCAAAGTTTCTCTTGGCTGTCCTTCAGAACCAGGAGCTTCCTTTTAATTTAATTGTTTGAAAACATTTATGCAGGATTCCAGGTGCTGTTGCTGCTGGACAAGCCCTGCATTGTGCACAGGGTGGGTGGCAGGGGGGCGGCGACGATATTGACAACCCCCTCCTCCAACACACAAGGAGATTCCTTTTCCCCTGCCCTGCCCACAGTGCATGGATTGCCAGTCTGGCGCCAGCTCTTTAGGCAACAGGATTTGGTGGGGTGGGAGAAGGGGTGGTGTTCACACACCACCGGGCTATCCAGGGAACCCCCTGCTGTGTGTGTGACTTTGCCCCCATAGATTCTGTTCCAACTAATGCACTGACCACTTCTCTCCACATCCGCCAACCCGTCCCCTTCTCTCTTTTTTTTCTCTGTCTCTGATTGCCTTTTTAACTGTAATCTGTAGCCCCACGGGCCACTAATCACGCCTCCTCTGTCCGTCCTTCTCTAGGAAAACATAGACCTTTCCTTAGATGCCTTAGAGCCTAATACATCTGGGTCTATAGCCACAGTAGACCAAGCGTCCCACCAGGCACTGGTAAGCTGCATGTGAGGGCTCTTCACGGGGGATGGCTGCCACCCCTGCCGCTGCCCATTCCTGCTCCATCCCTCCTCCTGCCCCCTCTCCCTGCATCTGGTCCTCTGCCTGCCCTCAAACAGGGCAGCTGCTTGGCTGCAGGTGGTTCTTTTTTGTGATGCTGCTGGGCGGGGCGGATGCATGCAGGTGGTGGGGTTCAAGACAACTTCCTGCCTGCAGTCTGAGCAACAGAGGCTTCCTCTCTCTCATAACACAGCCAGCCAGTGAGTGTGTGTGCGCGAGAGAGAGCTCTTTCTCTCTTTTTTTGCTCAATTTTGGACTGAGATATGTCCCTTGCAAGCATGCCTCTCAGACCTGGGGTGTGTAAAAGGCAAGGCTTGGGCAGTCTGGGCACAGCTTCAGGGAAACTCAGGGCAGAAACAAATGGAAGCATGTGAGTGTGTGGACGAGAAGATTTAGACCAATTCCACACCGTTTTAAAGCACCCCGTCGCAAGAATCCTGGAAACTGTAGTTTGCAAAGGATGCTAGGAATTGTTGCTCTGCGAGGACTAAACTACTTGGAGGCAAACCCTTCTGAATGCCCAGTTGCTGGAAGCCGCAGGAGGGGAGAGTGTCCCTGCGCTTGGGTCTCGTTTGCAGGTCTCCTTCAGGCTCCTGGTTGGCCAGTGTGAGAGCAGGACACTGGACTTGATGGGGCATGAGGCTGATCCACCAGGCTGCACTGACATTCTTACTACAGTTCCCAGAATTCCATGTGCTTCCAATGTGTGGTGTGAACGTGGCCTTATCCTCAAGGCCGGAAAGAACTCGTGCCAGTCTGACCGGCTTGACAGTGGGATGCAGGTGGTTTCTGCTGGTTGGTTTGGAGGCTTCCAATGGGTTCCCTTGCAGCCTGGGGCTAAGAAGCCAAGCCTTGCCTTGCGGGGTCAGACCAAAGCCCTGTCTAGTCCTGCCTCCTGGGCACGAAAGCAGCCAGGGCGTCCAGGAGCTGGGCATGGTGGCAACAACCCTCCAGCTTTCCTTTCACCCTGTATATTTCCTGCATGGGGACACTGCGTAGCTTTCTTGAGACCTTGACCCGTGATCTTGGCTCCCCTAACTTGAGCCTTCTGGAGCCATCATTCTGCTATAACACCCTTTCCTGCAGCTTCTCAGCTTGCAACATACACACATTCTCTGGGTTTCAACCAGGAGTGGTGGTTGAGGTGGCTGGTCCTGCTTCTGGAGTCGGACTAGGTGGGTTTTGATCACCTTCTGGGGTGCTTCACTCCTGGGGACCCCAGAGGTCTGCTTGCAAGGCTTTGCCCAGTGGGGACAACCGGGTCATTCCATGGACGCATTGGTGCCTTCCCCAGCATGGATCCAAGCCCTCGTTTCCCCTGCTGTTAGCCAAGGGGTCCTGTGCCCAGAGCATGTTGGGGAGGGGAGGACGGGGAGGGTGAGAAAGGGGGTGGGGTGCATTTCAGACCTCCTAGCCTGACAGCTGCCACTGAGGGAACCGGCTTCCTGACTGGGAGCTACAACCTTGGCAGAGCATTTATCCTTCCAATTAGCCAACGCTAACGAGGAGAAAGCGCTGGCTCCAGGTAGGGAGACGGCTGTCAGGGTTAGTTAGGGCTTCGCTCTGATCTAGGCAGATCTGACTGGATGAAGGGGGCTATGAACTCGCTGTGTGTGTTTGTGTGAGAGAGAGGGGGGCTGGGGAGTTGCAGTGCAGGCGTCATGCGTGGGGGGATGGATTTCACCGTGGAATGGGTGCATGGGTGTGAGAGGCACAGAACCTACCCCATTGCTCCCCCTTCTCCACTTACCCTCTGCAGTTGCTCTCCCCAAGCGCATTTCTCAGCAGCCAAGCTCCTGTGACTGAAAGCAACTTTGGTGTGGGGCAAAAGCATTTAAGGAGAATAGCTGTGTGTGTGTGGCTGTGTGTGTGTGTGTGTGTGTGTGTAGCAAGTGGTACATGAGGGGCGGGCCTCCCTTCTTTCATTGAGGGTGTGGGGAAGCTTCCCTCCTTATGTGATTGGAACTGTTCCAACGTTAAGCACACCTGCCGCTGAGGCTTCTGATTTGGGGTCATAGGCAGCTGCCTTATGCAAGGTCAGGCTGTCAGTCTAGCCCAGCATTGTCCGCTTTAACTGGCAGCAGCTCCCCAATGCCTTCTGCTTGGATCCTTTCAATGCGACGTCTCGGGATCTGAACCTGGTGCCTTTTGCAGCTGCTCTCCTGCGGAGCTTTGAAAGCCCCCTCTCCTGGCGTCAGGGTGTGTTACAAGTCTTCTTCTCCCCACACTGGCCTTTAGGATGGAAGAGAGATTTTATGGGGTTTGGGGACTCGATGGGCCCCCTTTGGCCTGACCCAGCAGGCTCCTCATGGGCTGTTGCAAATTTTGCTTTGGTGTTATTTGAAATTGGTATCCTGCTTTTCACCATGTAGGTGTCAGAGCAGCTTACAACAATGAAACATAGACAATGCAATGGGACTTGCGGCCCAGCAACACCTGCAGGGTCTCCCTCTCTCTCCAGCGACCTGAGGAGGGAGCTTTGCCGGGCGGGGAGCAGCAGAAGCGAAGGAAGCCGCTGTTGCTCCCCCGTTTGTCCCGCGCGCCCATAATTTTCCTTTTCCGTTTGCATCTGAGCCAATAAAGGAGTGGGGAGGCGGCGAGGCTTGAAAGTCCCTGCTGTTGCTTGTCATCCTAATGGAGGGGCCTGTTAGCACACAGCAGTGCGGCTGATGAATTTCGTCAGTTTGTGCCGCATTAGGAGGCCGGGAGGGATGTGTCCCCCCACTTCACTTATCCTCTTGCCCGTGAGTTACTTGCAAACAAAGGAGCTTTCCACGCACGCTTGCAAAAGGTGGGGCTGCTTTTGAAACCACTCCACCATGACTCTCCCAGGAGGGCTGGGGGTCACAGACCCGCCTTCTTTCTCCCACTGCTCAGATCCTTATTATTATTATTTCCAAATTGATTTCCTACCATTCTTGGTCCCTAAGCACTCCTGGCAAGCTCAAGAGATACATTTTTTTAAAAAAAACACACAAATAAATCGTTAAGTTGAAAACACACAAACCCTGCTACTTGCAAATCACTGAACACTAAAATTATTGAAAACGGCAACAGTGATATTGGCAATTGAAATAGATCTGCGTGAGGCGGTCTGGAAGAGGGACGGCCTCTCCTTGCTGTGGACGGGGATGAAAGAGCCCAACACGCAGCAATAAAACCCGACAGCAGAGCTGCACAGGCTCCCTCGTCAAAGGCCCCCAGGCCCCAGTGGCATCTCCTGGTAGGGCTGAGTTGCTGCCAGTCATTGTAGACAAAGCCAAGCAAGGTGGCTCCATGGCGTGGCTCAGTAGGAGGCAGCTTCCTCTGCTCCTAGAGTGGTACCTCGGGTTAAGTACTTAATTCGTTTCGGAGGTCTGTTCTTAACCTGAAACTGTTCTTAACCTGAAGCACCACTTTAGCTAATGGGGCCTCCTGCTGCCGCTGCGCCGCCAGAGCTCCAATTTCTGTTCTCATCCTGTTCTCATCCTGAAGCAAAGTTCTTAACCCAAGGTACTATTTCTGGGTTAGCGGAGTCTGTAACCTGAAGCGTCTGTAACCCGAGGTACCACTGTACTTCAGTCAGCCCTTAATCTTTTAGAGGAGGGATGCCAGCATGTCTGGCAAGGCTCCTACTTGCATGCAGCAGATCCCAGGTTTAATCCTCGTCATCTCTGGCTGGGTCTGGGAGTGTCCCCTTTCTGAAACCTCGGAGAGCCACTGCCTGCCAGTGTAGACAATAGTGAGCTGGATGGACCAATGGTCTGACTCAGTATACATCAGCTTCCTCTGTTCCTAAGGGATTCATGGGCCTGGCTCAGGAAGAGTATCCTGTTTTATAGGCCAGGAACCGGCTTGGGAGAGAGAGCTACTGCAGATTGCCCAGAGACAAACCAGTAGGTCCTGATCTCTCCTCTGCCCACTCCTGCTTTAAGACACTCTCTCCCCCCCCTCCCTCTCTTAGGGGTGGAATATGAGAAGTGCAGAGCATGACAACTCTATGCCTCTTCAAACCAAAAGTTCTGCTGGTTTCTCAGCCAGCACCTGGGATTTCACTAAGAACTGCCCATTCTCTCCCTCCCTCCTTCCACCCGCCAGTCTTAACTCATCAGCCACGGAGGCGAGAGATCTCTCCGCCTCTCCCCTTTCAATTAAAAACCAAAGCATCTTGGGATGCCGAGGTCCATGCCCGGCTCAGAAATTTCCACGCTTGTGCTTTGCAATTCCCAGGAGGGCCGTCCTGAATTGCCACTGTCAGCTCCTCTTCGAAGATTCTCCCCACCCACCCCTTCTTAAAAACGAAATCAGAATGCATGGATTTTCTTAATTTGGATGTGATGCTTTGCCATCTAGATTCTGCTTTAGGAACTGAAATAGACAGATAAGAGAAAGTCCTTCGTGCACTCCTAGTCAAGCTAAGCTGCTTGCTGCAACGGGGGCAGTGATGGCCACCAACTTGGATGGCTTTGAAAGAGGACCCCACAAATTCTTGGAGGGGAAAGGTATCAATGGCTACTAGACATGATGGCTATGCTCTGCCTCCATGAATGGGGACAGCAATGCTTCTGAATACCATTTGTTGGAAAGTACAGGAGCGAAGAGTGCTCTTGTGCCCGGGTCCTGCTTGCAGGCTTCCCCTTGAGGCCTGTGAGAACAAGATGCTGGACCAGGTGGTCCCCGTTTGGCCTGATCCAGCAGGCTCTTCTTATGAACATAGATAGTAAAGGGACCCCTAACCATTAGGTCCGGTCGTGGCCGACTCTGGGGTTGCGGTGCCCATCTCGCTTTATTGGCCGAGGAAGCCGGCGTACAGCTTCCGAGTCATGTGGCCAGCATGACTAAGCCACTTCTGGTGAACCAGAGCAGCGCATGGAAACGCCGTTTACCTTCCCACCGGAGCAGTACCTATTTATCTACTTGCACTTTGACGTGCTTTTGAACTGCTAGGTTGGCAGGAGCAGGGACCAAGCAACGGGAACTCACCCCGTCACGGGGATTTGAACCGCCGACCTTTTGATCGGCAGGCCCTAGGCTCAGTGGTTTGACCCACAGTGCCACCCGCATCCCAAACATAGGACGTTACCTTTTGCTCAATCAGACCACCAGTCCTTCTAGCTCAGTAGCATCTGCTATGTCTCTCCAGGGTTTCAGGCAGGGGGACATTTCCACCCATTACGGGTTGAACCTGGGATCCTGCATGCCAAGCAGGGTCCTCCTCTCACTAAGCGATGGCCCTTCCCCATTTCTCCTGAGTTTGGCAACTTCAGGTACCAAGGGTGGCAGCTGCTGCAGCATTGAAGCTGTGTGTGTGTGTGTGTGTGTGTGTGTGTGTTGAGAGCAGCTGCTCCTCCAATTGCTCCCTGCTGAGTTGCGGGGAGTAATTTTGCTGCTTAAGCCTCCAGATTGAATTTCTACCGAGTAAACGTCTTGTGCGGGAACATTTTACTAGACAATGTGTGTTTCTCCTGTCTCTGGTATTAAGTATTGATTCTTCCTGGGCAAAGTATTTGTTTTTAAAGCTGGAGCCGAGCGCAAGGCTGCCCCCGCCTGCCCCCGGCTTTCACCACTTCATTGCTCCTAGGGCTGGGCTTTCCCAGGCCGGCTTGTGGCAATGTGTGCAGCTTATGCAAGGGGAGGAGGATACCCAGGGTGTGTGTGTGTGTGTGTGCACGCATGGCTAGCAGTACACAGTGCTGCCCCCAGGGACAGGGCAGCCCCTCTTGGGCAAGTTGCCCCCCCACCCGCCCCTTGCCATCCTCCCTGTCCCACCACACCCAGCTTTCTTGGTGGAGGTTACAGACCCAAATAACACAGTGGGGGGTCTTGGGCGGCTCCTACCTGCAGGTCCGCTCCCTGGCCCGGACCGACGAGGCCCGCGGCCTGCTGTGGTTGCTGGAGGAGGAGTCGCTGCAGCCCGGAGGCAACGAGGACACTTTGCTGGAGCGGCTGTTCACCTACTACGGCCCGCAGGATGGAGACAAGAAAGGTAAGGCGCAAGGAGGGCTGGCCTTAGCTGCGATCCCTGCATCGCAGGGGATTGGACTAGATGACCCTTGGAGTCCCTTCCAATTCTACAGTGTTATGATTCTATGAAAAATAATTTAAAACAAGGGCTGTAAAGGGATAAAGTTCTGCTGACTGTCTCAGGAAATGTCTTCTTCCATATGAGCATCCCTCCCCCTCCCCTTCAAAAGTAGGAAGATTCAGGACAGGTAAAACAAAGTCCTCCTTCATGCGTTGCCTAGTTGAACTATGGAACGTGCTCCTACCAAGAGGCATTGGTGGCCACCAACCTGGGTGGCTTTAGAAGAGGATGGGACAAGTTCATGGAGGAGGAGGAGGAGGAGGCTCTCAGTGGCTGCTAGCCAGGAAAACTCTGCTCTGCCTCCACAGTGATGCTTCTGAATCCCAGAGGCTGGAAACCACAGGAGGGGAGAGGGCTCTTGTGCTCAAATCCTGCTTGTGGGCATCCCTTTGGGACAACTCATTGGCCCCTGTGAGAAGATGGGGGCTGGACTAGATGGGCCCTTGGCCTGACCCAGCAGGCTCTTCTTAGGTACTTAAAGTGCTTCTTGCAGCCATTTGCCTGTTTTATTTTGGAGCCCCTCCAGATGCCCCTTTTATCGTGCATTCATGATTATTTGTGCTCCTGGTGGCATCAAAGCAGTTCTATGCCATCCCGTTTACAATACTCTTTGCTCCTGTGAATCATAGAATTGTAGAGCTGGAAAGCTTTGGGGTGGACGTACTGCTTTGTTTCAGCCCTGTAACTTCCTTCTGAAATGCGGCAACTTTTAATTCACAAATGCGCTGGTTTATTTTTCATTGTCAGCTTTTGATGCTCCATAGTTGTGCAAATGCCTCTCTAGGCAGCAATTACGCCGTCACATTGGGGAAGCATCATGGAACAACTAACAAAAGAGGAATGATGTGCAGACGGCCCAGTATAAATCCACCACCACTGCCCTGTTTTTGCAACATTGCCATGCAGTTTGTTTTAAAACTGGTTTTCATGCCATGTTGTAAATTGTTGTCACCTCACCCTGGGACCTTAGGGTGAAGGGTGGGTAATAAATCAAATTAATAATAATGCAGAGGGCACCCACAAGAAAACAACCACCCCCACCTAGTCTGAAGCAAGCGCCCTTAAGCCTACATTTAGTGTGGGGTGTTGGGTTGAGCCCTCTCTGAGTCCTGGACCTACAGCAGTGTCTGATTTTGGGCATACCCAAGCAGGCCAGATGTGAGTGAGGAGCAGTCTGCTTGACAGTTTGTGCCTTGCCTTCTCTCTTTGCAGGGCACAACCCGCTGCTCCGAAGCAGTAGGCCACGGCACTTCTTCCTGGGGCACAGCTATGGCACCAACTGGGTGGAATATGACACCACGGGCTGGCTGAACTATGTCAGGCAGAATCCTGCATCCCAGAACACTCTGACTCTCCTGCAGGAGTCCCAGAAGTAAGTTGCAAGCACATTATCCTCTCTCTCCTTTGCTCTCTCTGTGTCACCCCTCCTCTCCCTTCCTCCTTCCCTCCTCTCACCCTTAAAAATATATATAATAGTTTTTATTAAAGATTTTCTTGGTTTACAAAAGTATGTGCATTGTCTCATTTTCCGGCTTGTAAAGTCTTTTCTACGGATCAGTTACATTTGTTATGAGACATTAGTGCTTTCTCTATCCTCCCCAAATCAGGTATGAAAGGGCTGCAGTTATGGCAAAGCCAAACCTCTGTTTTATTTAACACACCTGTCCGCTGGGGAAGCAGGATGCTGTATGCCTGTGCCTCTTAGGAACATAGGAAAGTGCACTTGATCCATCTAGTTCAGTATTGTCCTGACCGGTTAGAGTTGGGGTTAGGGGTTTAGGCAGCAGATCTCCTGAATTTCAGGTAGGGCTCTCTGCCAGCTCTACCTGGAGATGCCTTGGATTGAACCTGGGACCTTACGCTTACACAGTGCAGGGGCTCTGCCACTGAGCTCTGGCCTTATCATAAAAATAAAGGAAGGTGTTGTCGTGCTGATGAATACAGTGGTATCTCCGGTTGCGGATGGGATCTGTTCCAGAGATCCCAAGGTTATGCAACCGGAGGTGTGCGTATCCAGAGGTACCACTGTATAGGAAGCTGCCCTTTGCTGAATCATTTACTTCGGTCTATTTGGCTCAGTATTGTCCACACGGACTGACAGCGACTGGGTTTCAGGTAGGGAGTCTGTCCCAGTCTAAGAAGAAGTGCTTGTTTCATTCATCATCGCGTGCCTGTATATGTGTTTCACCCCACACTGGTATCTTCATGAAGCTGCTGGTCCCAAGCTACTCTTGCCCCTCTCTTTCCCCAGAGCAGGTCTTGTTTCCCTTTCCTTTCCTTTCCTTTCCTTTCCTCGCCTAACCTGAAGCAGGGGTGTCCCTGATTATCTAGTGCTCCCTCTGCTGGTTGGAAGGACAATCGGTGCAGCCTGGAGTCCCCTTCCCCAAAGCAGCTTCATCCCAACGGCCTTGAAGAGAGTTGGGCCGCTAGCTGCCCCTGCTGTTGCATCCACTCCTCCATCTGGCCGTGGTGCTGATTCCCTCTTCTGCCCTCTTCCTCAGGAAAATAATCAGCAGCCTCTTCGCAGGCCGAGCTGGGACAGGAATGGTGCTGTCTGGGTCCATCGCTGGCCTGGAAGGAGGCTCTCAGCTGGCTTTGCGCAGGGCCACAAGCATGCGGAAGACCTTCACCACGGGCGTGGCAGCCGTGAAGAAGAAGTCTGTCTGCATCCAGATCAAGCTGCAAGTGGTGAGTCCCCGTAGCTGGCCCTGTGGCTGAGCAGGTGCCTTTCTCTGTGTGCCCAGAAGGAAGCACTGCGGGGTTTTTAGTGTGGCCCAGTACCGAGCTGGCCTTGAAAACGCTGAGAGAACGAAGACGAGCCATTTCAGGAGAGGTTGGCGGGGATCACTTCTTCCCTGCAGGGCCTGCTTGCCTCAGTATCTGACCCCCTGTTTGTTTTGAGGCAGCCCAGTCCCATGGACGCATCTGTTCCTAGGAGGGGGCTCAGCAGTTGCATTGGCAGAGGAGATGTCCCTTTCCTAGCACGGGATCAAAAGGGCCTTCCCTCTGCCTTTGCAAGCACTTGTGCTGGTCATTTATTTATTTACTTACTTAGAGCAGTGTTTCCCAACCGGTGTTCCGCGGCACACTAGTGTGCCGCGAGACGTTCCCTGGTGTGCCGTGGGAGGGAGGTGGGCGAGTCGGGCGGCGAGAGGCGGGGCGGCGGTGGCGAGGATCCGCGTCGAGCCGGGGGCGGCTCCGCGGTGGTGGTGCCGAGGTTTCTCTCTCCATTCTCCCCTCACACACACACACAGGAAATAACACAGGATCAGCTGACAGGACCCGGCCAATGGGGCGGCGGCGGGGTAGCGCGCGCAAAAGGGAGGAGCGCGAGACAGCGGACGAGGAGGAGGCCGGCATGTCCGGGCAGCAGCAACAGCAGCAGCAACTCCCGGCGACGGCTCCTCAAGCCCCGGGCAACCCTACTCCCTCACCGGCCTCAGCCGCCCTCCTGCTCCACCCGCCGCCGCCTCCCCCGCCGCCACCGGCCACCTCGGCCCCGCCGCCGCCCCCTCCTCCGCCCGCTATCGCCGCCACCACCACAACAGCCGCCGCCTCCTCAGCTGGGCCCATGCCTGCAGCAGCAGCGCCCCGGCGCCCTTCCCTCCCGGCGTGACGCTGCGCGCTGACGTCACAGGGCTGTAATGGTGGTGTGCCTCAAGATTTTTTTCATCAAACAAGTGTGCCTTTGCCCAAAAAAGGTGGGGAAACACTGACTTAGAGCATTGGTATCCTGCTCTTCAGCCAAAACAGCTCCGAGAGCAGCTTACATGCAGCCAGGTAAAACAAGATGGCCCCTGCCCCTGCAGGCTCACAGTCTAAAAAGCATGATATGCGAGGGGAAAGAGGGAGGGATGAAGGAAATGAAAATGAAAACTCAAGCATCAATTTCTAAGCTATAGTTCCTAGAATGACCAACAGGCACAGTGCAGGGGCCGGAGGCGCCTGATGGAGCTGGGCTTTGGGCAAGAGCTGGTAGAAGGAACCTTCTGCTTCCTATCTCTCCCTCTGAGGAAGTTTGCTGGAATGGGTGCTTCCGTGAGACAGTAGAGGGAGAGGAGGACTGATGGAGCTGGCCTGTCACAGCAGAGCTGATGCAGTTGCCCCCTTACTGGTTGGCTGAGTTTGGCATGATTGCCACCTGACCTGCCACAGCCGATCAGGCTACTCAGAGCACACACAAGCACACTCACGGCCCTCTGCAGATCCCTTTAGCTGGATCCTGGGGTCTGCAGAGAGGGCTGATCCATCCCATCATAGATGCCCTCAACTAATTCCCTCCCCCTTCCCTTCAGGACGCGCTGATCGACACCCTCAAGAAGTCCAAGCTCCACTTTGTGCACTGCTTCCTGCCCAAGGCGGACAGCTGGAGCGGGGACTCCAGAGGGCTGTGCACGCGGAGAGTGAGCACCAGCGAGCTGGACCTGCACGGGGAGCACTGCGAGGCCGGCCTCATGCAGCTGGACATACCCCTCCTGAGGGCCCAGATCCGGGGCTCCCGGCTCCTCGATGCCCTTCGGATGTACCGCCAAGGTTGGTACCCTGCCCCCCGAAGCAGTTGCGTTGTGATCACCTGCAGGCATGTGCTGTGGAAGCAGGAGGCGTCGCTCTGCCCCCGCCTGTAATGAAGTCCCTGCGTTGTATCCAATGGAGTGCTAAGTGAACATCGCATCAGGGCAAGGAAGAGCGGGGTGTGAATAGCTCCTGGCCAGGATGGCTCTGCCTCCACAGTTGGAGGCAGCAATGCTTCTGAATACCAGTTGCTGGAAACAGGAGGGGAGAGTTGCCCTTGCCCTTGAATCTGCTTGCAGGGTTCCCATGGGCATCTGGCTGGCCATTGTGAGAACAGGAGGCTGGACTAGATGGGCCCCTTTGGGCTTGAGCCAACAGGCCGTTCTTGCAGAGCTATTGCAGAGATCTAACAGTTTCTTCCTCCACTCCCTGTTCTTGGGTGCACACTTGGTTAGGGCAAGACCCTTGGCTTCACCATTGCTCCATGCAAGCTGACGGAGCCCCACCCTGCTGGGACACCCCTGCAGGAACACTTGCTAGTGATGGGCAAGAGGTTTGCCTCCCCCCACTACTGTTGCGATGCGTCTGGGGAGACAGGGGCAATTGGCAGGCCCCCAGCTGGCTCCAGCCCACCGGCTGGCAGCCGGGCAAACTCCGGTTCTCGGAACAGCATCAAAACTGCGACTCAAGCTTCAGAGACCTTTAGAGACTGAGCATGCAAGCTAGCAGAGCTAAGAACTCTTTGCAACAGAAGTAGCAGACAGAAGCATATGTAAGCATATTTACAAGCATTTATTTAGCATTAGAACAAAGGAAAAACATGTCTGCTCCCCTTCGTGTCCAAGCAAAAAACTATATACAATGGAAGTTCCCAGCAGACTGTGCTGGAAGTAAACAGACATGTGACATACAACAACTCCACATGCCTGTTCTAAAGGTGGAACGGAACAATATCCTAACAACTACTACTTGTACAGACCAGCAGAGAGCTGGGTTGCCAGCAGCAGCAGCAGCAGGGGCCACTTGCATGTGTGGGGGAGAATGGCACAGCGGGATCTGCAAGGTCCCTGTTACCCTCCCAGAGTCATTCTCTCTTCTCTCCTCCTTTTCCAGGAGATGGATCTGGAGAGCTTAGAAGCTGCGAACCAGAGCTTGCAGTCAGACCTGAAGCTGGCCTTCAAGCGGATCGGTGACCTGCAGGCCGCCATCGAGGACGAGATGGAGAGTGACGACAACGAGGAACTCATCAACAGGTAGGCGATGGGTGGGGACCGGGAGCAACCAAATGAGCTGTCCTTCTAGGCATCGCTGCGTAGCCCTCGCCTGGCATAAGAGTATTAAGCAAAATCCTCTTGCCGGGGTGGGGAACCTGCCGGCGTCATGCAGCTCCTGCCATTCCAGGCCATTGGCTGTGCTGGTTCCTGGGAGCTGAAGTCCAGCCCCAGCTGCGGGGCACCATGTTCTCCACCATGGGCCCGAGGCAAGAGGTGGCCAGGCAGTTGCCTCTGGGAAGCTCCCAAGCGGGGCGTGATGGCTGTGGACAGCCAGAGGTAGACTGCCCTTGGACACAGAGGCTCCGTGGAGCTATTATCACCAATGGTTGTGGAATAAGCTCACCTTCCGAACACCTTTTAAGCCACCTGGGCTTAGCAAGTCACTTTGGCTTGTAAGTCACTTTGGCTTGCCCTGGGCAAGGTAAAGCGAGTAACAAAGTCAGATGATGATGATTAAATCCTCAACAGATTTTGATACTTAATGTAATTACACGCTAAAAAAAATAGTTGTCATTGGGAAACATAAAATACAGTAGTGGGTAATTGTTATAACTTGGGTAACCTTTTTTTAAGGAAAAAAGAAAAGATGCATAGGGTTATATGCAACTAAGTTGTACTCAGAGTAGACCCCTTGAAATTAATGGGCCCAAGTTAGCCTTGCCCATTAATTTCACTGGGTCTACACTGAGTTGGCTGCAACCCATATCATGTTATTGAGCCAATATAAATGGTTTTCCGTGGGCCTGCTCTTCAGGAGGGCTGGCATTGGCTACATCCGGGTATTTTCAGCGCCCTTGCAGTTCCCATCAAAAACTGTTGCAGAGAGCAGTTGAAAGAGATGGGCATGTTTAGCCTGCAGAAGAGGGGAGTGAGAGGAGGTGTGGTGGCCATCTTCAAATATCTGAGGGTCTGCCACATGGAAGATGGAGCAAGGTTGTTTTCTGCTGCTCCCGAGGGGAGGACCCAAACCAATGGGTTCAAATGACAAGAAACACCTAAACATTAGGAAGAACTTCCTGACAGTAAGAGCTGTTCGACAGTGGAATTTGCTGCCAAGGAGTGTGGTGGAGTCTCCTTCTTTGGAGGTCTTTAAGCAGAGGCTTGACAGCCATATGTCAGGAGTGCTCTGATGGTGTTTCCTGCTTGGCAGGGGGTCGGACTCGATGGCCCTTGTGGTCTATTCTATTCCAACTCTATGATTCTATGAATCTGTGAAATGAGATTCTGACCAAACATCAGGAAGAACTTTTTGATGGCAAGAGCTGTTTTACAGTGGAATGGTCTACCTCAAAAGGGGATGGACTCTCCTTCATTGGAGGCTTTCAAACAGAGGTTGCGTGTCAGGAAGTCTTTGGATTCCTGTTTTGCGGGACGTTGGCCTGGACGTCCCTCGGGTCCCTTCCAACTCTAAGATTCTATGAGCGAGTCCCCCTGTCACGCTCTTCTCTCCACAGCTACGCTTCTCGTTTTGGTTGCCCATCTTCCCTTCTCCCTCGCCCTTGTCCCGCCTTCCTGTGGTGTTTATTTTGCCTGTTTTCTCCCCCTCCCATTCCCCCCTCCCTCCTTCCCCCCGTTCTCCAGTTTGCAGGACATGGTGACAAAGTTCCAGAAGCGCAGGAATAAGCTGTGAGGATGAGTTTCTCTCCCTTGGTTTCTAGTAACCCCTTGTTACTCCTAACCTCAAGCATGCCACGGAGGGGAGGTGGGGGGCCACAGGGCCTCCCCCACCCCCCACAATGTAGTTGCATGCCCCCCTTCCTCGCGTGCGCATTGGCCTGGTATGCTCTAACTCTGTGTTTGCTGTGTCCCAAATGGGAAACTAATCGTAGGAAGGGAGGGGAGGGATTTGTGTGTGAAGAAGGGGTTGCTGGGTCGAGCCTTGCTTGGTTTCTAATCCTGGAGGGGGAGAGTATTGTCTCCATATATATATATATCCTGCCTTCTTCCCAGAGCCAGGCTAAATCCCCCTCCCCAGAGATAAAGTAAGATTCTAGTCCTCAGGGCCGATCCAGCCAATAGGCAGCATGACGCCACTGCCTCAGGCAGCAGAAGCTCCCGAGTCGATCACCCAGAGAAGCAGTGCTCTCATCGGTGCTGATTTGGGGTGAGATCGTGGCCATTTGGGGCAAGATCTTGCCTGATATCCCGCGAGTGCTTGTGGAACATGCAAGGCGGCAGAACAGGACGCACTGCTTCTGACAGCCCTCGTTTTGAAAAAAAGCTTGATTTAAACAGGAGCAAAGGAAGCTGTCATAATTGTGCATAGTCAGATCCATCTAGCTCAGTATTGTCTACACTGACTGGCAGCAGCCCTCCAGGGTTTCACGCAGCACGTCTTTCTCCCAGCCCTACGTGGAGATGCCAGTGGGGATTGCACGAGGGACCTTCACCACGCAAAGCAGATGGTCTGTACCGCAGAGGCACAGTAGTCCTCCTCCAATTCTTTCCTTCAGTTCTCCCTCCCAGTTCTTTTGTTGGCTCACCTGTCGTTATGGTGAATTCTGGTGATGCTCCCAGTGGGCACACCTGTCCAGGTGGCCCCCCTGTGGGCAGTGGGTGCATTGAGGATCCAGCCCACCAGCTCTACTGGCATTACACACACAACGCTTTTGAGCAAACACTTCAAAATTGTTGTGTGTGGGCACTGCAGAATCTTTGCAGGCAGACTGATTGCATAGAAGGGTATTGGCTGTGACCCCCCCCCCCCACGTTGGGTGGTTCCACCGGGTGTGAGGCTACATAGTGGGTGAGATAGTCCTGAGAGGACCTCAGAAGAGCCTGCTGGTCTGACATCCTGTTCTCACGGTGGCCAGCCAGGTGCCCCCATGGCAAACAGGATCCAAGCCCAAGAGCCCTCTCCCCTCCTGGGCTTTCCAGCAGCTGGTATTCAGAAGCCTTGCTGCCTCCAACTGTGGAGGTATGAGATTGTTGCTGGCACTGTAGGGAGGTGCAGCCTTGTGGAGAATCGTGTGCTAAATGGGTGGGTGGGCTTCTTCAGCCTTCTTTTTGAATGATTGCTTTACTGCCTCGCTCTAGGTGCTTGGAAAGGGGGGAGGGGGGCAGAGACTTCCACCGGGAAGATGCTTTTGAGCATCAGGAGTTTTTGATACCTGGAATAACTCTGCTCATCATAGGATAGAGAGCAGCCAAAAATTCCAACAACCCGGATAAAATTCTGCGTGCCGCCCTGTGACTTCTCTCTGAGCCCAGGATCCTGGCTCTCCTGCTGCGATGGCTGTGATGGCAGAGCCTCTTTCCTCCCCGAGCCGAAGATGGGCTTGGCTGTGGCTGTGGCAGGATCTATACGGGCTAATGATAAATGTAATCTTGTGTAGCAGTGATAGAGGGCCGCTAGAGCCTTGTTGTCACACACAATTAATGTCCCCCACAGTTCAGTCTGCGTTTGTTCGTTCCCCGGTGATTTGGATCCCAGTTAACTAATGGAACGCCAGCCTGGACATAAATTGCCTTTGACGGGAGGTTTAATTCCAACAATTTAAAATCTCAGCTGCCCCCCTGAGTTTGTTTACGGGGCTCCTTAGATTTCTTTGCGGTTTGTTTCTTTCTCCCGAGCAAACAAAACAAACCCAAAAAACACCCTGTCTCCTGGCATTTATTCCCAGAGAGGGAGATGTTGGGTTAATCAAGGGGACCTCGTTGCTTTGAATTTAACAAGGGAGATTCGGATTCAGGAGAGATGCTTGCCCGTTGCCATGCTCTTCCCTCGACGGAGGAAATGAAGAATAGCGTTCATTTTTAAGTTCACATTAGATATCCATTAAGAGGGGGAGATGTAGAGGCTGCTCCTGCAAAGTTTCCTGGGGGGGGTGTTAGTGGGAGGGGCGGGGGTGTTCCCCCACGGTCGTTCCACTTAGCTCCCTGAAAAACCAGGCAAAGAGTTATTGAGCCCAGCGAGGTGGGAATGAGAAATAACACCCCGATCTGCTCGTAAACGCACTTGTTATTGCCGTGATCCTAATGAAAGCGGTAAACAGCCCCTGTATTAGAGGAGAGATTTATACGGGGACGGCTCTAAATGTGTAGGAATAGTTCCTGTGTCCCCCCCCTTAAAACCCACGCACAACTGTGCTTTTCCGTGCTCAAGGCAATCAATACACTTATGGACGCTGCCTATAAATTTAGAGACTTTAAGCCGGATGGGGGCTGCGTTTACGTGCCCATATAAATCAGGCCTCGCTACCCTGTGGCGGAGTGGGGGGGGACGTGTTTCGGCTCGCTTGCAGCCATAAATCTTTGCCCAGCCGAGTAGCTGCTCTTCGGGGCCCGCTAAACTCCCAGTTTACCAGGGGACAGCGGAGTGTAGCTCTTCCCTGCCATTGCCTTAATCTGATGCTCTGGCAGAGGAGGAGGTGGAGGGCTGTGAGAAAGGAAGCTTTGCTCCCCTTTCCTGTCCCCAGCAGCTCTGCAATTTCCCCCTTTCCTCCCTCTCCTTAACATCTGCCTGCTGTCTCTACCATTTATTATCTTTTCAGGCCCGTAATTCAACTGGCAATGAGCTGGGGTGGGGGGGGGAGATGGATGCCAGGAGTCTGGGCTGGGGGGGGGATGGAGAGGAAAGGTGTTCTGAGGTTTTCCCTCCCCCTTTCTTTTAATGAGCTGAACTCATCGTATTGGCAGAGGAACGAGCCTTTGACTCTTTTCGTTAGCCAGCTCTTGGGGGATTTGAAGGTTTAATGGGCCTGCCCTCTCGGATGTACCTCGCCTTGAGGAGTCTCACCATTTTGTAGATTCTTCCCTTTCGTCCCCTCTCCAACATCCTCAATTTTCCCTGCACAGTCCTGTTCTGAGCCTCCCCTGTGGGAAATATCTCTATGATATGAATGAGCAAGGGGTGGGGGGTTGGAGGTGGCTTATTTATACCGGCTTATCTGATACGGCTCCTTTTCCTCCAAAGACATGGCAGTTTGGTGCAAACATGGCTAATTTTTCTGCTGGGAATCTCTGGCTCTGTAGGAGGATCCTACGGTGTGTGTGTGTGTGTGTGTGTGTGTGTGTGTGTGTGTGTGTTCTCCTTGAGAATGCAAACAGAAATTTCTTAGCCTCAACAAACTACAGTCTCCAGGAATGGGGGAGGGAGAAGCCAAATAGAAATATACCCTTTTAACTTCATTGTGATTGGAGGCTGCAGTGGGGTGAAAGAGGCCTTGTGGAAGAAGTGGGTTTTGTGGGGAGGGGATTTGACTGCAGTGTGTGGGGGGAGAAAGGGGTACCGCTGTCAGGTAGCCTGAGGTCATTCAGGGTTGGCTGGTTGGTTTATTTTACTGCCTTCGTATCCCATGTTTTCCTCCGAAGAGCTCGTGACGGTGTACATAGTTCTCTCCCCACTTAAATAAGCCCCACAACAACCCTGCGAGGTAGGTTAGGCTGAGAGAGGCAGGGACTGGCCCAAGGTCACACCAGTGAGCTTCAGATCCTAAGCACTAAGCCAGTAGGTAGGAAGAGCTGTGCTTGGGTCTCCTAGGCGCACTGCTCTAAGCAGATCCTCAAAGGCAGGAGCATATTGTGAGAATCGGGAATGACATCGTGGAGTACAAAAATAACTTGGAAGCTGACGGTTGGAGACCCTTGAAGGCAGCTCGGCAGTTACCCACGGAGAGGCTCAAGAGGCTGTCGGCTATCTCCTTCTCCGCAGGGTAGGGTGATGGATCTCAGCATAGCACAGACTTCTCCATCTCTGTCTCTCTCCAGCTCTCCAGGCCAGTGGGCATGCAACGTTCTTCTTTAAAATACATTTCAGGGATGGAGAATGGCGCAGGCGCACAAACCTCACCAGCCCTCTCTCCCATGCCCCTGACATTTGGCCAGGTTGGGCTCTTTCCAGGTGCAGCTTCGTTTAAGCTGCAGGAGACGGCAGTTTTTCCTCCCCCAAAGGTGCACCAGGAGTAGGATCTGGACTCTGAAACATCTGGAGGGGCGCCAGGGTAGGAAAGGCTATCCTGCACACTCCTCCTGCCCTCACCTCTGGCCAAGAAGGCCCTGTAGGCTTTTGAGTTGTTTTGAAAACCTTCTTGACCCGAGGGCTGAAAGTTGTGTGTGTGCAGACCACAGGAGGCGAAGCCTGCATCCAGCCACATCCAGCTCCCCTCAGCATAAGAGAGCCTGGCTGCTGGATCAGGCCAAAGGGGGCCCCTCTAGTCCAGCATCCGGTTCTCACAGAGGCCTACCAGGTGCCTCTTTGCAGCAATTCTCCCCACTTACGATTTTCCTTTCAGCAGTGGAGTTAACCTTTCTCTCTGGCCTTGGCCAAGGTCAGGAGGGTGTTCCAAGGGTTTTTAAACCCCAGCCCCCTTCATCAGGGACGCGGGTGGCGCTGTGGGTAAAACCTCAGCGCCTAGGACTTGCCAATCGCATGGTCGGCGGTTCGAATCCCCGCGGCGGGGTGCACTCCCATCGTTCGGTCCCAGCGCCTGCCAACCTAGCAGTTCGAAAGCACCCCCGGGTGCAAGTAGATAAATAGGGACCGCTTACCAGCGGGAAGGTAAACAGCGTTCCGTGTGCTGCGCTGGCTTGCCAGATGCAGCTTGTCACGCTGGCCACGTGACCCAGAAGTGTCTCCGGACAGCACTGGCTCCCGGCCTATAGAGTGAGATGAGCACACAACCTTAGAGTCTGTCAAGACTGGCCCATATGGGCAGGGGTACCTTTACCTTTACCTTTACCCCTTCATCAGCATGTGGCACCCTGCTCTCATCCAGGTGAGGTTTGGGGGCGGGTCCCTCCTCCTCGACTGCCGATTAACTCTTTCTTGGCTGGCCCTCCTAAGTACCTTTGTTGTGCATGTCGAATACGATCCTGGCGCCTGCCCTGGGAAGGACAGTTCTGATGCAGCCCTTTTCCCTCCTGTTCCAGCGAGGGCGACTCGGACGTCGATTCGGAGCTCGAGGACCGTGTGGATGGTGTCAAGTCATGGCTGTCCAAGAACAAGGGGTCTTCCAAGACGGTCTCTGAGGACGGCAGCCTGAAGAGCAGCAGGTTAGCATTATGGGGCCTGGGAGGACTCCCCTCCCCTCCCCAGCCTCCATTCCTCCTCCTCCTCCTCCTTTTACCCACCTCCTCACCACTGGAATCAAGTTGGTGCAATGCACCCTGTTGCCAGCATCCACTTTCTGTCTGCATATGGGGCCTTCTTCTGGGAAAGGATTCTTGCAGGTGGGTTCCCAGGAAGAGAATCTCTGTCTCTGTCCAGAGACTCCAGACAGTGAGTGAGGCGATGGGATCCCAAACTGCAGTTAGCTGTGGCTGATGGAATGGTATCCCCTTTGTCTTCCTCTGGGACACTGCTGGCCCCCCTGGAGGTTGGCCAGGCATCTCCTGAATCTTCACACACGCACACAAGTTTTCCTTGCAGTCATTCTCAAGCCCCACTTTCCTTGGGAGTGGGTGACCGTCATCCCAAGGGTGCCAGTGCCTTCCTTCCTCTGCACCCATCTCTCTTGGGGAGAATGTCAAGTAGGCCAGGAAGGGGTGCCTGGGGGGGGGGCGTAAGAACATAGGAAGAGCCCTGCTGGTTCAGGCCACCCAGTCCAGCCTTCTGTTCCCACAGGGACCCACCAGATGCCCCAATGGGAAATCCACAAGCAAGATTTGAGCATGCATACATGCATAACTTTATTGGTATGCCACCTTTCCACAGTTCAAACCATGCTTACGGCAGCTTACAACACAGGGGAAAACACATGACTGCAACATACCAAAAGTAGCGAAAACAAAATGAAACATTAAAAAATACATAACCATATGGAGCAGTTTCTGCATAAATCACAAGGAGATCTAAGTACAGTTTTTTTTTAAAAAAAACCTCAACAGCAACCCAAGAGTCCATTCAGCAGCCTCAGCTTTTGTAGTTGGAGTCAGTCGGGGGCCTCCCAAGCCAGATGGGAAACGGCCTTCAGGAGAGAAGGGTCATCCAGGACTCTCAGCACAAGAGCACTCTCCCCTCCTGTGGTGTTCAGAAGTAGTGCTGCCTCTGGCTGCCGAGGGCAGAGCACAGCTGTAGTGACTAGGGCCGGGGCAGAGGGGTCTCTGCAGCCTTGCCCACGAGCCCGTCCCCCTTCCCTCTGCAAGTTCCTGAACCCTCAAGAGCACAAACTGAAGGCAACCCTCTCCTCGCCACCCTGTCCTCCTTATTCCGCCTCCATTCCACACGCTCAGGCCACTGGAAGGGGGTCAGCGGCTACCTGCCTGTTGGCTACTGAAGAGGGTGCCTCCTGGAGCGCCCCAGGCAGCCAGTTGCCACCTCTCTCCCTCTCCCTCCCTTTCCCCTCCCCTCGCTCAGAGTCTTTGGAAGTGACCAGGAACCAGACGGGCTATTTATAGGACACCTGTTGCCATGGCAACCAGCCGCACTGAGCCGCGGCAGCCTGATGCTGATGGCGCGAGCTGAGCCGAGGGTGCCTGCCTGCCTGCCTGCCTGCCTGCCTGCCTGCGGGTGTTACAAGGGCCTTTTGTGTTCCTCCGAAGTGGCAGGGGAGACGATGATCCCTCCCTGGGGTGGGGTGGGGGTTGAGAAGCCCCTCCCTGACCTCCCCCCCATATCCCGCAGCTGAGCAGGTGCAGAAAAGGTGGCAGGAGCAGCGCTAGTGGACCTTGCCCACCCCAACCCCAGCGCACTCCTCAAGCGAGCACCTGCTAGCGGGGATCGGGTTGGGTGTTTGCGTCAAAGCCACTTCTCACTTTGGGGATTCAGCCCCCCTGCTCCCCACCACCACCACACACCCTCCCCTCCCCCTTCCTTCCTTCCCCCAAAGCCACCCACATGTGCCATGTGCCAAGCAGAGGAAGATCTGAGGCACACTCTTAATTGGTTTAATTTATTCTTCGGCATGGATGTAAAACATTTTGTTATGGAAGATAATGCCCCCTTTTTGCCAATGCTGGGAATCAATTGTTACGTGCCGCCAGCGTTTTTCAGGTAGTTGACAACAAAATTAATTGAAATCAATAGCGGCTTTTTTCCGGGGGGGGGGGGAGGGGGGAAGCAATGGTGTAGAACAATGCCTTAATTTGCATGCTGCTTCCTGTGAAGTTAATTCTTTCGCAGACACAGTGTTGGGCTGTTTTCTTTCTGGATCTTCTTTCTCTCCCTTTCCCCCTCCCACATGCTCACTCAACCTCTCCCACTCTTCTTCTTCTTCCTTCTCTCTCTCTCTCTCTCTCTCTCTCTCTCTCTCACACACACACACACACACACACTCTCATGCTCATTCTCCCACCTGCACCCCAACCCTTGAACTTACTGTCTCTCTCTTTCTGTGCTCTCCCTTGCTCCCTTCCGCCTGCCCTGTCAGAACCGCCCTGAACTCAGTTGCTAAAGAGGGCAAGGAGGCTGACGAGAGGCCCGCCTCCGTCATGAGCTCCCTAAGCTACAGGAAGCGGGGCAACCTCAAGGACTCCATCGGGGGCAAAGGGGACGAGGAAACCCTCTTCTCCACCCTGAGCGAGCGCCCGGCCTCTCCCACCCGCTCCTTCCGCAAGGCCAAGCGCAACTCGGGGGCCAGCGGCCTGGACGACAGCAGCTCCGTCGCCTCGTGGAAGAAGCCCACCAGAGTGGTGGACGACCTGGACGAGAGGGGCTCGGTCCTCTCCCAGCCCTTCTCTGAAGCCAGCGGCCAGCTCTGCCACAAGGGCTTGGAGAAACGCTGGTCCATCTCGGCTGCGGAGTTCGACAAGACCTCAGTTCTGTCCGCTCCCATGAGTCACGGCGGGGCCTCCTGGGGCGGCCTGGATTCCCGGGAGCAGGACGCCAGGTCATCCCTCAGCTTCGCTCTCTCCAGCCCAGGCAGCTTGCGGCGGAGCACCTCCCGCCTGGACGACCTCAGCCCTTCCTACAGCCGCCCGGGCTCCCGCCTCTCCATGGGCCACTCCCAGCTGGACGACGCAGCCAGCATTGCCCCCAGCGACTCCTTCTCCCTCTACAGCCACCACTCCCTTTCCCGCAGCCTCTCTGTGCCCCCGCGGCCCCGCAGCTCCGCCGCCGATGAGCTCCAGGCAGAGGATCCCGACATCCGGCCCGTCAGCCACCGCAGCTACCTGGACCCGGACCTGGAGGCGGCCATCAACGAAGTGCTGAGCTACAAGCCCGTCAAGTTCAAGCGTTCCAGCCTGGATCCTGACTCGGATGGCGACGACGACAGGAAGAGCGTGCGGAGCACCAAGAGTGCCGTCCTGGCCGAGCACTCGGCCGAGCCCCCGGCCAGCAGCCTGCGCAGGTCAGCCTCGGCCTTGGATTTCTCCAGGCCTCACGGCACAAAGGGCAAGAGCCGGAGGAGGAGCTCCAGCGAGTCCTCTTCCTCCTCCTCTTCGTCCTCTTCCCCGGAGCGCCAGCGGAAGAGCTCCAAGAAGCGCTCCAAGAAGTCCAAGAAGAAGTCCAAGAAGAAGAAGAAGCAGCGCTCGCGCTCGGCGTCCTCAGAATCCTCTTCCAGCGGCTCGTCGGGCTCCACCGTCTCTTATCGCAGCAACTCCAGTGTCAAGAAGGGCCCCAAGCGGGCTGGCCCGGGCTCTGAAGGGGAGGACGTTTCCAGGGAGGGCCCCGAGGCCGGGAAGTCCAACAAGCAGCTCAAGAAGGAGGAGAAGCAGCGCAAGAAGGAAGTGGACAGCCTGATGATGAAGTACCTGTATCGCCCGGAGAGCGACTAAGGCAGGTGGCATGGAGGCAGTTGTGTGCCAGGTGTGAGCACGGCGTTCCTGACTAACCTCTAACAAGGGGGAGGGGTGGGAGGCCCTCCAGGCTGGATTTGAGCCTTATCCTGGATCAACGGCAGCTCAGCTTACCCAACCGGAAGGATGTCCAGGTTCTTCTTCTTCCCTGCATGCTGGCAGCGGATGGACGGCATGGGTCGACTTAGCCTCGGAGTGTGCATGCGTTTGGTGTGTCTCCCCAGTCACTAACCTCATCCTCCAGGACTCGCCTTCCTTTTCAGGCTGGATCCTGACTCCTGTGCACTGGGTCCTCCCTGCTCAGTCAAGGGGGCGGCACCTAACCTGCGTGGCACAGGGTAGTAGTGGGACATTTGTTTATTTCATTTCATGTTTTGCATTGATTCCTATAAAACATCTCCAGGAATTCAACAATAACAGCACCAGAAATTATATACATATTAAATCAGCTGGGTTTTATCCAGTACGGTGCTAAGGAACTCATCCTGTCTGCGCAAGATTCATAGGGTCATCTAGTGGAAACCCCTACAAAGAAGGAATCCATGCTTGTGCAGCAGAACTCACCACTACCTCTCTTCTTCCTGAGCATGCTCTAAATTTGTTCTAGGTTTCTCCTCAACCCTCTAGAGCAGATCTGGAAAGGGGTGTGAGGAAGAGAGGGGTTTCCATTGAACCAGCCGAAATCCTTAAAGCTAACATAGCGAGCGCATTCGGATGCAGCCCAATGAAAACAATTTCACAAATTTTATTTAAGGCATTTGTATAACGCTTAATCGCTTGTGTTTCTCAGCGGCGTACGTAAAAAAAAGCCAGATTGGATAAATTGAAACTGTGAAATAGAAATCTACGATAAAACCTAGCGCTATCTTGAAAAGCTTGCCAGAACGAGGAAGCCTCAGCCGTGCGCCTGAAGTTCTGCAGACAGGGGTTGCCTGTCTAATCTGACGGAGTTGAGAGAGGGCTTCCACAGGCTTGAACGCACTGATGGTAAAAGCGATTAGAACAATTTCATATATAAAAACAATTTCAAGTCCAATACAGATAACGGGCTGGGATAAAGAGGAAGAAGAAGAAGAAGAAGAATATCTCCCATTTATTGAGAAAAGGAGGTCTTCGGATGACGTGGCCTGCCTGATGTTGAAGCCGAGCTCCTCTCTTTGTGGTTGGAGCAGGGCTGCCTGCCGTCAGTGGTGGCCTGGCTGGCTGTTCCTGCCATGCAGAGGTTCTCGGCATCATTGGTTGGAGTTGTTATTATTATTATTATTATTATTATTATTATTATTATTATTATTCCCGCCTTATTCCCCCAGGCCTCAAGGCGGCTTACAGATAAAAACAAGAATTACTAAAAACATGGGGAAATCTATCATTAAAAAACAATTAAGCATTGATAGAATTAAAACTATATACATACATAACATATACATACAGATGTACCTCTGCGGGGAGGCAGTTCCACAGCTTTGGGGCTGCCACAGAGAAGGCCCTCTCCCCCTGGGCCACCACACCCCCAAGCCGCTGAGGGTGGAGGAACTACCAATCTCAGCACCTGAGAAAGTTTGTAGGGAAGGAGGCGATCTTTCAGCTATTTGGGTGCATGTGTATCTAAATCAGAATCCCACTTGGCCCAGTCAAAGATCAAGCCTCCGTACAATAAATGCAGCCCTTTTCTGGGCAGACCCAATTCCAGGTTGAAATCCAACCTGAGTTTTGGGTGTGCGAGTTTCTCCTGTCTGAATGGACTATTCAAGGTCAGGTGATCAAGCCCTCCTGATTGCCACCAGGGCAGACCTGCGGAACCAAACAAAACCCTGCCAGCCCTAGGCCGCCGCTTGCCCCAGCACTTTCCCCACCCACCCAAACCCAAGGTGCCCTTCACGCCTGCAGTGTGTGCCACCATGTACAGGTGCCAGGCTCTGTCCAGCTCTGGAAGGCCATCATTGTGCAGGCCGGACCTGGAGGATTGTGCCTCCCACTGCCTCCATCCTCACAACCAATCTTCTCCTCATCTTCTCCTAGTTCACCCCCTCCTCCTGGCCACTGCTGGCTTGGTTTTATTCTGGCGGGTGGCACAAGAGATGCCAGGGTGCGTCTACCTAGGCCAGAGAGAAGAGCGTTCCCAGAGGGGGGCGGGGAGCCATAAGAAAGCCGTGTCTCTCTCGGAGTGTCACTGCTGCTCTGAAGGCTTGAACATCTCCTGATGAGGCTGCGCTGCGCTTGGCAGCTGCGCACGCCCAGGTTGGGAGCCTTTGTTTGCCCACTTCGAAGATGTGACAAGGGAGAGGCGGCTGTGTGTGTGTGTGTGTGTGTTGTGTTTGCCTCTGCAGCAAGCATTTCGAAGAGAAGCAACGGCAGCGGAGGCAAGATTGTGTGCGCGTCCCTCTCCCCCCTCCCTGCCAATCCCTAACAAAAATTTATTTGTGTATTAAATGGTTTCCGACAGCTCTGAATGGGAGAATTATCTAGAAAAGAGAGACTGCATTTTCTCTCTTTTTATTTCCTTCTCCCCGCCCCCACCCCCCGCACTTTTTTTTTAATTAAAAAAAAGACATTTTCTCTTTTAAATGTTCAATTACTATTGCAGCCTCCCGCAGCTGGGGGAATGTTGTGGTGCTTTAGATTTTCTTAATGCACTTAACGCTCCAGCTGCCATAACAAGAAATGGAGCTGGGAGGGGCAGGATTGGGTTCGGGTGCGCGAGTAAGAGAGGGGGCGATGGGGGGGGGGAGAGAAGAGAAGAGAAGGAAGAAAATGTGTCTCTTTTTTCCTCTAAGCAACTGTGCAACAGGGTGTGGAGTTGCTGAGAGCTGGAAGGAGGGACAAGGGAGGTCATTTAGTGAGGCTGTAATGCACAGCCTTCTTTTCTCTCCCACCCCCAAACCCATCTTAAGCACACACACTCCCTGTTTTCTGTGTTCACTCCTGCAAGTTTCACACAATTTGGCCATGTGTGTGCTTGCGAGAACAGCAAGAGATTCGGTGAATGTGCCCGACACTGTGTGCATTGTGGGAGAAACCTGTGTTGTTGGTTTTTTTTAAAAGAAATCAATCCAGGTTTTCATCCTGAGAAAGAAGGGTATCAAAAGTCTGCGAAGCACATCCCCCCTCCCTCCATGGCATTCTGGAGTGTCAAATAGTTTTATGGGTTTTATGGATTCCTTTGACGGCTTGGCCTGTCGCTCTTTTGCCACCCTCAGCTCAGGGCGATGCTTCCCTGTCTCTAGCGTGGTGGAGTGGGACTTGATTCATTTCACAGCTGAATTGCTCTGATTCGCACTCCGCAAAACACAAACCGAAACGGCAACATTCCTTTGAAATTCGCCTGAATTTTCCTAACGATCTGAATTTTTCCATGTGCAAAAGAAATGCATGTGCTGGGGTTAAAGTGTGCATAGGAATGCATAAGTTAGTGGAAATAACATACCAAAAAATGCATTACGGTCATGAACGTCGCTTGCAAAAATGTATTAGGCAGGATTGTTACTTATTTTATTTATTTGTAACATATGCTGCTTGGTTGCAAACAAAAACAACAGAACAGCCACCTCAAAGCTGTTTGCAATTAGGATTGCATACAAATATGTCTGCGTTAGGAGAAATTTGGAGTAAAAGGCTGCCGAATTTTCATGAGGACTTTTACACACACACAAAAAAAATTATATATGGGCAGTGACCATTTTGCAGTGACCTGGAACACAACTGCTGCGTTTGCAAACTGACATAGCAATGTGGAGAACTGCACTTAAAGATTGGGAAAGATGGGGAACTTGAGAGGAAGGGAAATGGACAGCTTCCACCCATCCTTCGTCTCCAGGCCATTTGGGCTTATTTAATTTATTAATTTATTGCATTTATATATCCCCCCACCCCCTGGGAATTCCAGGCAATGTGTGCATGGTTCTCCCTCCCCCCTCATTTAATCCCCACAGCATCCCTGTGAGGTGGGTTACGGTGGGGAGGCAGGTCATACCCAGCGAGGGCTCCATGGCCGAGTGGGGAATTCAGACCCTGGTCTCTCCCAGATCCTAGTCCAGTGCTCTAACTGCTGCACCATCACTGCCTCTCCCTCACAGTGTGCAGGCTTCTGTTTGGGCTCCTCCTGGTCTGGAGAGCCTTCGCAGCTGGTTCTCCCTCCCTCAGGTCTGGATGAGCCTGAAACCTAATGAGGATGAAGAGATCTGAATCAGGATTCCCAGAGCTGTAGAGGAAACAGCTGGATCCCGCTCGGATCCTGAATTGATTTCAGCTGCCCGACTTGCAACAAATCCTCGCAAGGCTCAAGTGCTGCATTTCCCATTCGCGTGTTTGGATTTTACATTTGTGCCGTGCCAACAGCGGCGTTCTCCTAACAGAAGACAGATATGCTGTTTCAGACGCAACTTAACTAATTTGTGTGGGGGGGGGGCGGCAAGCAAGGCTCAATTGCCAGGCTCCCATCGCAAAGCTCCCCTCCAGCAAATCCTTCGTGCCGGGAGGGAATTTCCAAATGGCTCCGCGTAATGAGCGAGTTTGCGAGGTTATTTCTTCTCTCTCCCCCCCCCCTTTTCCCCGAGCGTGGCTTGCAACAGATAGGGGTGAAATTTCCAACAAATGCCTGATTTGCTACAGATTATTTGCTTAGCTCTGCTAACTACGGGGGAGAGTAAATCACTGCGGAATGCCCTGGAAGTGTCTGGGAGAGGAGAGGAAAAAATATAAAATAAAAATGAATAATGAGCTCTCGTGAAAGTGAGCTGCTGGCTTAACAGTTTGCCGAGGCAAGCAGAGACCCTGAGGAGATGTGGGGGCCCCATCTATGAGCTGGGAAGAGAACCCCTGAACCCCACCTTGAGGAAAAAGCTCTGTTTTAAATCAAGCTCTGCTTTTTGCAAACCACCTGTTCCTGAGCGAGAAGTCTTCTTCCAGCCAGCTCTGGCAGAGGGCACGTAAGCCTACTCACGCCCCATAACCGCACCATCCAAGCCCCCAATTTCGTAATGAGCACAGGATTCAGTCTTCTGAATATTAGCACTCTTTCCCCTTCTTTTTAAAAGAAGCCTCATCTTTCTAGTCCCTAATACAGTGTGAGATCCTTGACGAGATTTCAAGCCAAGCGGAGGCAGGGGTTGGGAGGCAGTGTGCTGGAATGCCAGTAGTAAATTGCAGGCGCTTCATGTCTTGCAGCGGCAGAATAAATTGTGTACAGCAAGCAAAAGTGCATTGGCGAACCCACAAGTTATGTGCATTGCAGGAATCTGCTTTTCTGGGCGCAGGATATGGGTTCTGAGCTGCCGTCTTCTCCTCGCCCTGGTTAGGGCAGAGCACCCAGAGCTGGCTTTGAAAGCAGAACTTGGACCAGGGCTTGGGGATGTTGGAGGCTTCTGATGGAAATCGCTTCTTCCTTCCATGCCCAGAACAGAAATCAATCCAGCAAATGCGATTGGGATTCACTGCTATTGTCACTTTTAGTCTGCAAGCGATATGTAATAGATCACACTCCTCCTCTCAATTTGCATTGTGTTTCTTTGCATCGAAAGGAATGGGGGCGGGGAGCAATGCAACGACAAAACTGGCGTAATTTCATCACAGCAAGATGGATTGTGTGGCAAAAACTGAGTTGCTCCGGCCTTGTTTTGTAGGATGCAGCTGATGTGTGTGTGTCAGCCAGCACTACAGGGCACAGCAGTGGCCTTCCTGGGGGCGGGGCGGGAAGCCGAGTGGAGAACAAAGGGCGTTTTTACAACTGATACTAACCATTAGGCCTTCTTGCTGCTACTTGTGCATGTGTGTGAATCGATGGGATTAGAAGCTGGAATAAGGCAGCTTTTAGGGGGGTGTCAGTCTGACCCGGGCAGGTGGCCAGCTTGGAAAACGCAAGCCGCTGAGCCTCCACTTCACTCAGAACAGGCCTCTGCCTCGGTTTTTGACCTTGTCCTCTTGTTTCCCCCTCCCGCAGCCCCCCTGGCTATCGGAAATCATTCACCTACGACAAGTCAGACGAGGAGCGAGACACTTTTGACGGCGCCCACCGGTCCAAGCACTCCTCCCGGAGCTACCTGAGCGACAGCGACTCGGAGAGCAAGCCAGCAGAGACCACAGCGTAGCCCCAGGCAGGAGCAAGGCTGGCGGGCCGTTCGCCTCCCGACCCTCTCGCTCTGTGGTTGGGCATGCCGGGCGCAAACGGAGGCACCCCTCTGCAGCACCAGCCTCCGGCCAGCGCGCTTCCAGGTAGTCTCTCTCTCGCCCCTGCCGCCAGCTTGGGGGCGCCGCACGACCACCGTCCTCTTGCATGGGAGAGAAAGGCAACGATTCTGCGGGGCCACTTGTTCCTTGCGGCGAAGAGGTGGGCTGGGGGTGGGCGGCCTGGCCACCCTGCTCAGCTGCAGGGAGCCCCACCCCCACCCCGCCACTGCAGCCAGGCTGACCTGTGTGTGTGCCAGAGGGATTTTGCGCTCCTGCCAAGCTTGCCTCCGGTGGCCCCGTTTGTGGCTGCAGGACTGTTCCGTGGACAGCAGAGGATGCCAGCTGTCTCCTCGCTTCCTCTGTGTGCGTGCGTCAAGGTGTTGGCGGGGGAGCCCTTCTCAACGCAGTGCCTGCCCCTCTTACGTTATAATTTAAATCCGTTCTGACCTTTGTGTGATGTCCAAAGAAACGAGAAACAACCCCCCTTTTAGCCGAAACATTTTTTAGAAAAATAGCTGAGCCGAAAAACACAGATGCACTCTCTGTCTTCTGCCTCCCAACCATGGGAGAAAAACCCACCTGCTCCTCTAGCTCAAGTCTTTTGAGCATGCACAGCTCATGCCTTCCACGCTGGCACACTAAGCCACATCATTTCCATGCCCTGCATTTTCTTGCACTTGGATTTGGGGGGTAGGCACAGGGTGGTGGTTGTTCTGCCACACCTTCTGAGCACCCCTGAGAGGCTCCCTACCTCCAGGAATGCTTTTGTTTTTAAAAGAAAGAGCGGAATGTATCCTCTCTGCCTTCTGCCGTCTCCACACACACTCACAAAACCACATACGCCGTCTTTGCGCAGGGGGTCCTAGGTCCCACCCCTTCCGGTAACCAAAATGGCTCAGTCGTCTCCCCCCCCCCCCCGGGCTTGATCCATATTTTATCGCTCATTTTTCTCTGCTGCTGCTCCTCCAGCAGACTTCCAAAGGAGCCGCTTTGCATTTTAGCTTCCCCAAACACCCTTTGCTTCCCTGGCCAGGAGCCCCCCCACTGCCCCCCCCAGCCCTAACGCTCACCTATAACCCTTGCTAAGTTATACACAAGACTGGACTCTTTGTGGGGGTGGAGAGCTGAGGCGGGGGGAGTGCTGGGGGCGCACTGCCAAGCTCCTCTCTCTCTCTCTCTCGTCTGGGTTTGGTTTCTATTATTACTATTTTTTGCACTACTTCAGTTGTGCGTTGGATTTTTTTCTAATTTTATTTTTGGTTCCCTTCCCCTCCCTTGTCTGTCGACTTTAAATAAAATAAATGTCATTTATGGGTAGTGTAAACCCCTCTGGCCGTCGGTGTCTTCTCTGAGAGTGTCAGTGGTGGACTGTCCACCTGAGGATGGATGGCCCTCTGTCGGGGATTCTTCAGCTGAAATTCCTGCACGGTGGAGCGTTGGACAAGATCGCCCTTGGAGATCCCTTCCACCTCTACAATTCTGTGATTCTATGGTCCTGGCCAAGGGAAGGGGTGGAGGAGATACGTTTCCCCATATAATGGAGCCATAATTCTGCAAAAAAAACCACTACCAACCTCTACAGTTGGAAGCACACTTCGTTCTCATGCTGCACAAAAGATTTATTTCTAGAGTGTGGAAACGTAAAGATCATCCGCATTGACAGGAGCCCACCTCTCTGTGTGAGTCCCTGACCTGGGCATTCCTCTAGTCCACGAAGAGGCAGGTCCAGCACACTTCCCTCCAGTAGAGATGCAGCAGGCAGCTTCCTTTCGACTGCAGGTCATTCTTCCCTCTGTGTCCACTTTAGAAGTGACACAACAATTCAGAGGTGAGATGGAATTGGGGGGGAGGGGACGGGAGTTCACTCTTGTTTGCTTTTGGATGAGAAACTGCCTCATTCGCACTTTCTGAAAAACGATCCAAGAACTGGAATGCAGACCTTGATTGAAATTTGCTCTTCTCTGAATTTTGCGATGCAGTTTTCCAGCCCGCTAACGTTTGCAAAAATCATTAGGGGAGAAAGTGTGCCTCACAGTGCACCTTCTGTGATAATAACATGAACAAATGCATTACATTAGAGAAAATTGCACACAAAAATGTGTTTATTTCATGGGTTGGCAAACTAAGGCCTGGAGGCCAGATCTGGCCCAATCGCCTTCTAAATCTGGCCCGCAGATGGTCCAGGAATCAGCGTGTTTTTACATGAGCAGAGTGTGTCCTTTCATTTAAAATGCACCTCTGGGTTATTTGTGGGGCATAGGAATTCCTTCATCCCCTCCCCCCCCAAAAAAATATAGTCCGCCCCCCCCCCAAGGTCTGAGGGACAGTGACCGGCCCCTTGCTGAAAAAGTTTGCTGACCCCTGGTTTATTTGAAGAAAATGCAGACTAATTTTCACGCAGATGTTTAAATCCACAGAAGCTGTGGAAATGTGCAGAACTGAATTTCGGATCAGACAAAAAATTAAGAAACAGAGATCCGTACCCAGTAATTGCTAGTCCTTGGCAGCAACTGACTTAGAAGAGAATGTTGTAAATCTGTTGTGTGTTAAATCTGGCATATTAACTTTTTTTAAAAAATAGACACACACCGGGCAACCTGTAGATGGTGTAGTGCTGGTTCAAAACACGCCCACTCGGTTTCACAGCACCAAGTGCAGAAGCATTGCCCCTTCCCCCTTGCTGTTGTGAATTAGCAACCATTGTGGTGCAGGAGTTAAGAGTGTTGGAGAGATCAGGGTTCAAATCCCCACTAGGCCATGATGCTCACTGGGCAACCTTGGGCCAGTCACTGCCTCGCAGGCTGACCTACCTCACAGGGTGGTTGTGAGGATACAATGGGGAAGGGAACTGTGCACACCACCTTGAGCTCCTTGGAGGAAAGGTGTGGTATGAATGCAATAAATACTAAATCAGCCTCCGCCAGCATGGCAAGTGCTCAGGGGGTCGTGGGAGATGGACCCCAACAACATCTGGAGGGCCGCTGGATCCTCAGCTCTGCATTACTAGAACCTGCAAGCAGAGATGGTGACAACTCTGGGCGCAACACTGTCACACTGTTGGGAGAAGACTTCTGTCTTCCGTGGCAGGAGTAATAATAATAATAATAATAATAATAATAATTTATTTATACCCCGCCCATCTGGCTGGTTTCCCCAGCCACTCTGGGCAGCTTCCAGAAAAATATTAAAATACAATAAGAAGAAGAAGAAGAGTTTGGATTTGATATCCCGCCTTTCACTCCCTTTAAGGAGTCTCAAAGTGGCTAACATTCTCCTTTCCCTTCCTCCTCCACAACAAACACTCTGTGAGGTGAGTGGGGCTGAGAGACTTCAAAGAAGTGTGACTGGCCCAAGGTCACCTAGCAGCTGCATGTGGAGGAGCGGGGAGGCGAACCCGGTTCCCCAGATTACGAGTCTACCACTCTTAACCACTACACCACACTAGCTCTCTTTAAAGCAAACTTTAAGAACATAAAACAAGGAGCAAACTTTAAGAACATAAGCAGAGCCTGCTGGATCAAGTCCGTAGCCCGCCTAGTTCATAATCCTACTCTCCCAGTAGCCAACCAGATGTCCCAGTGGAAAACCCCTTGTGGTTTCCAGCAACTGGGATTCAGAAGCATCGCTGCCCCCAGTTTTGGAGGCAGAGCCCAGCCCAGCCACCCGGACGGGTAGCCACCAATAACCTTCTCCTTCTAAAGGCATTTGTCTTTTAAAGCCATCGCTGCCTCCTGTTTTAGAGAGTTTCGTTCTGATGGTGCTGCATCCTGTGTTCCAAAGGTTGCAGTCAGGAGTCAGTGTTGGCACAAATCCTGTCTTGTCTTTGGGACTGGAACTTGAGTGTACAGAGAGGAGTTCAGCTTTGGGCACCGAGGCTGCATTGGGCATGCATTAAACCCTCAACGTGGTGAGCAAATCACACTAACCCTGTGTGGCAGATTCCTGCCTTCAGCGGCCTCCCTTTCGTTTTCGGATCATGGGCAATTTTTGACTCGAGCAACCTGGAATGTGTCCTAGCTTTTTCTCTCAGGCCTCTCAGATGCCGTCGGCACCAGCTGCTGCCCACGTTTGTGACCTCCCGTGACCGCTGGGTTCCTTTCACCGCCTGCTTAGGGAATGAACAGAATCCCTCATAAGAGCGTGGCAACAACCTTTGCGGACAATGAAGCTGAACGCTGGAAGTTGAAGGATCAAGAAAAAGAAAGGACTTCTTTAAACCGTGCAACTCCCTCCCACTAGATGCAGTGATGGCCACCAACTGAGATGGCTTTGAAAGACAACGAGACAAATTGATGGAGGAGCATCAGGCTACTGCTGGCTACTAGCCAGGAGGGCTCTACTCTGTCTCTGTGGTTGGAGGGAGCAATGCTTCTGGATCCCAGTTGCTCTTGTGGTCCTGATCCCTGGTTTCCCATAGGTGTCTGGTCAGCCACTGTGAGAACTGGGCTGGATGAGGCCCCCTTTGGCCTCATGAAAGCATCTAGAGCAGCGGTTCTCAACCTGTGGGTCCCCAGGTGTTGTTGGACTACAACTCCCATCATCCCTGAGCTCTGGCCTTGCTAGCTTAGGGGTGATGGGAGTTGTAGTTCAACAACATCTGGGGACCCACGGGTTGAGAAAGGCTGATCTCGAGATTATGGGGCCTCAGAGCCTATCGCTTACAACAGAGAAAGTCAAGGGAATTGGGTGAGGGGGGGGCCACTTCACCTCCAGCTGACTGGCTGGCTCTGCCCACAATATTCTAAGCCATTAAATGGTCCAGTATCCTATGGATGCAATCCAAAAATGCTAATCAATTTTATTTTCCATTTTTTTTAAAAAAAGTGGGGTTGTGCTATGGCAATAACGTTAACTATATTTATCGGCCCCCGTCCAG